AAGGACTTCCAAAAGCATCCCTCTATTGGGTTCCTCCTCATTTTTCTTTTGTCTTCCAAGGCTGGACACTAGAGTGATGAATTCAGGATTTGCTTTCGGGTATTTTGGTAACTATTGGAGTGGTTAGAATCAGTGTCAGGTCCCTCTCAAAGGCTTCGAGATAACTGAGGGGTTGCTGAGGTGTAGATATGACCTGAGGGTATGCACACTGAAAAGACTTTACCCAGCATGGGGCATGCCTTCTCTTCCTAGCCTTCCCAAGATTGTAGACTTTAGCCCTCCCCAAATCTAGGAAACCATGTGTGATTAGGTCCAAATTACATATAGTTGGCTGGGAAGAGTGGCTGGATGATCCAGTGAGGGTCCAATGACCCTTTTTGGCCCTCCTTTAATGAATGAGCACAACCGTCAAGGAGCCCAACTGTGACGATGTTTAGCGATCAGGCTCAGCTAAAGTCATGATGGTGGTAGTTATTTATTTCATGCAGAAGGGACTGCTGTATAGCATCATCTTCTTAAAAGGACCTGGAATTTAAAAGGATTTGGTGCTAGGATCCACATATGAGGGAGAACATACGTCATTTGTTTTTCTGAGTCTGTGTTACTTCACTTAGTATAACAGTTTCTAGATCCATCCATTTACCTGCAAATTTCATTATTTCATCTTTCTTTACTGCTGACTAGAACTCCATTGTGTAAATATACCACATTTTTGTTAACCACTCATCAGTTGAGGGACACTTAGGTTGCTTCCATCTCTTAGCTATTGTGAAAAGAGCAGCAACAAACATGGATGTACAACTGTCTCTACAGTAGGATGAGTCCTTTGGGTATATGACAAGTAGTGGTATAACCAGGTCATATGGTAGGTTCATTTTTAGTTTTTTAAGAGTTCTCCACACTGTTTTCCATAGAGGCTGCACGAGTTTTCAGTCCCACCAGCAGTGAATGAGCGTTCCCCTTTCTCCACATCCTCGCCAGCATTTGGTATCATTTGTTCTTTTGATCCTAGCCAGTCTGATCGGGGTAAGGTGATACCTTAGGGTGGCTTTAATTTGCATTTCCCTAATTATTAATGACATTGAACGCTTTTTGAGATGTTTCTTAGCCATCTTTACTTCTTCCTTTGAGAACTCTCGGTTTAGATCTTTAGCCCATCTTTTCATTGGTCATTTGGTTTCTCTCTTCTTCATTTTTTGAGTTCTTTATATATTCTGGATGTTAAACCTCTGTCAGATGTGTCACTGGTGAAGGTGGGTTTTCTCTTCACTTTTTTTATTGTTTCTTTTGTTGTACAGAAGCTTTTTAGTTTAATGAGGTCCCACTTATCAATTGCTCACCTTAGTGCCTGAGCAGCTGATGTCTGATTTAGAAAGTCCTTTCATACACCTGTATCTTGGGAGGTACTGCCTGTTTTCTTCTAGCAGTTTCTGAGTTTCAGGTTTTATATTGAAGTGTTTGATCCATTTGGAGTTGACTTTTGTTCAGGGTGAATTTCATTCTTCTGCAGGTGGAGATCCAGTTTTGCCAGCACCATTTGTTGAAGATGTTGTCTTTCCTCCATTGTGTGTTCTTGGCACCTTTGTTGAATATCAAGGTTTGTATCTTCAGTGATGTTCTATTGATCCATGTGTCTATTTTTATGCCAATACCATGCTGTTTTATGACTATAGCTCTGTAGTATACTTTGAGATCTGGTATAGTAATCCCCCCAATGCTGCTTTTTGGGCTCAGCGTTGCTTTGGCTATCCAGGCTCTTTTGTGCTTCCATATGAATTTAAGGATGGTTTATTTTCTAATTCTGTGAAGTATGTCATGGGAATTTTGATTGGGATTGCATTGAATCTATATATTGCTTTTGGTAGGATGGTCATTTTCACAATATTACTTCTTCCAATCCATGAGCATGATAGGTCCTTCCATCTCCTGGTGTCTTCCTCAATCTCTTTAACGATTTAAAATTTTCACTGTAGAGATGTTTGGTATCTTTGGTCATATTTATTCCAAGATATTATTTTTTCCAGCACTGTTGATATTCTGTTTTGCATTTCATTTATTCTAGCAGCAAAGCTTTCCTCTGTTGTTTCAAGTCAGCTTATTTGAGTTTTTCACTTCTTTCTTCATGTCTGCCTGAGTTTTCTTCAGTGTTTCTATCTCATGTTAATTCATTCAGAAGTTTATCCCTATTTTCTCTTAGCTCTTTGATTTATTCACATATTCTTTAAATTCATTGTAGAGATCTTTGGTGTCTTTGGTCAGATTTATTCCAAGATTTTTTTTTTTTGCAGCAATTGTTAATTGGAGCATTTTCCTTGTATGCTTTCTCCAATTGCTTGTTATTGGTATGTAGAAATACTACTGGGTTTTGTAGATTGATTTTATAACCTGCCACTATACTGAAAGTGTTGATCAGTTCTAGGACTTTTCTGGTGGAATTTTGGGATCTCTTTGGTATAGTATCATATCATTTGGCCTATTCTTTTCCAATTATTACTCCTTTCATTTCCTTCTCTTGTCTTATTGATCTAACAAGAGCTTCAAGCACTATGTTGAAAAGGAGTGGAGATAGTGGACATCCTTGTCTGGTTCCTGATTTTAATGGGAATGCTTCCAGTTTTTCTCCATTTTAGAATGATGTTGGCTGTGGGTTTGTTACATATGGCTTTAGGTATGTTGAGGTATGTTTCCTCCAGTCCAATTCCCTCTAGGACTTTGAAAATAAATGCATGTTGAATTTTGTCAAAGGCCTTCTCTGCATCTATTGAGATGACAATGTGTTTTTTGTCTTTGAGTCCATTTATATGATTAATGGCATTTATTGACTTGTGTATATTGAACCAGCCCTGTATCTCTCGGATAAAGCCTACTTGATCATAGTGAATGATCTTTTGGATGTGTGTCTGTATAGGATTTGCAAGTATTTTGTTGAGAGTTCGTGAAGAGATGGGCCTATAGTTTTCTTTTTTGATTGTGTCTTTACCCTGTTTGGGTATTAGAGTGATGCTGGCTTCATAGAAGGAATTTGGGAGTTCTCCCTCTGTTTCTATCATTTTGAATAATTTAAGTAGTATTGGTTGGAGGTCTTTAAATGTCTGGTAGAATTCTGTTGTAAATCCAACTGGGCCTGGGCTTTTTTTAGTTCGGAGGCTTTGTATTACTGTTTCAATTTCCTTATATGTTATGGGTCTGTTTAAACTGTTGATCTCTTCTTGGTTTAACTTTGGTGGTTCCCGTGATTTCAGATAGCCAACCATTTCTTTTAATTTTCAGATTAGTAGCGTATACGTTTTTAAAATATTCCCTTATAATGGTCTGGATCTTTTGGGTGTCTTTCATGATGTTCCCCTTTCATCTCTGATTTTGGTGATTTGGATTTGCTCTTTCTTTCTTTTGGTTAACTGGGCTAAGGGTCTGTCTATCTTGTTTAGCTTTTCAAAAAACCAGCTTTTGGATTTGTTGATTCTTTGTATTGTGTCCTTTGTTTCTATTTCATTAATTTCTGCTCTGAGTTTTGTTATTTCTTCTCTTCTGCTGGGTTTGGGTTTCATTTGTTCTTGCCTTTCCAGTGTCTTGAGTTGCAGTGTTAGGTCATTTCTTTTGGCTCTTTCTAACTTTTTAATGTAGGCACTTAGAGCTACAAACTTCCCTCTTAGGACTGCTTTTAATGTGTCCCAGAGGTTGTATTGTGTTGTATTGTCCTTTTTGTTGAATTCCAGGAATTCTTTTATTTCTTTCTTAATTTCTCCTTTGACCCACTCATTGTTTAGGAGTGTTTTGTTCAATCACCAGGAGTTCGTTTATGACTAGGGCTTTGTCCAGTGTTGATTTTGAACTTTATCGCATTGTGGTCCAATAGAATGCATGGAATTATTTCAGTTTTTTTGTGTTTGTTGAGGTTTGTTTTGTGGCCCAGTATGTGGTCAGTTTTTGAAAAAGTTCCATGGGGTGCTGAGTAGAAAGTATATTCTTCCTCAATCTCTTTCTTTAAAGATTTAAATTTTTCATTGTAGAGGCCTATAAATTCATTGAATTCCTTGATCATGTTTATGACTGTTCTTTTAAATTCAATGTCCTGGGTTATCTCTAGGGGGTTCTCCCTGTAAAACTCTTCTACAGGATTGGTGGAGTTTGGTGGGGACATAGTGTTTTGGCTTTCCACTTTATTATTCTTTCATTGTGGTTTTGGCATGTGAATTTCTTTTGTTGTTTATGATTCTGATATGAGAATTAAGATGAAGTATGCTTCTGTTTGTATTATTGGGGTACCTAGATCCTTTTTTATTGGGTATGTAAAGCTGGTTGGTGCAGGGTTCAGGTTCTCTCAGGTTTAATTTGGAGGGAACTGATGGCTTCAGATCAGCTATTCAGGAGCACACACAGAAGCCCAATTCTGATTCCAGTCAGGTACGCTCAGGCTTCCTTCACCACGTGGAGGCAGTATCAGGGGCTCTCAGGCAGTCCTCTGTGTTCTCAGGCCCTCTGCCAGAGGGAGGCCAGAGGGAGGCCAGAACTGGGTGCTCTCCAGTGGTCTGCTGAGATCAGAGCCACTATACCAATGGAGGTCCGAATCCACCCTCTCAGGCTGTCTGCAGGATCTCAGCCTTAGCCTACCAAAGCCAGATCTGCCCTCGGGCCTTGGGAGGGGCCTCACAAAATCCCAGGTAGAGGGATGGTATCATGCAATTAGGGGAAGCTCACCACCACATGGAGGCAGGATCCAGGGGCTCTCAGGCAGTCCCCTGCGTTCTCAGGCCCTCTGCCAGAGGGAGGTCAGAGAGAGGCCAGAACTTGGAGCTCTCTGGTGGTCTGCTGAGATCAGAGCCACTACACTAGTCCCTATGTTCTTACAGTAGAGGTGCTAAGGAAAGCGAAATGGCTCTGTCTGCCCGCTGTGCCCATCTAGCCTCCGGCTCTGTCCACCATTCCTCCATGTACCCTTGGAGTAGCAGAGTGGATTGTCGCACTAACCACACCCTCTCTGCGTCTCCCCTTTTTTTCAGAATGGGTTGAATGGCTTGCATCTGGCTTCTAAAGAAGGCCATGTGAAGATGGTGGTTGAACTTCTGCACAAAGAAATCATTCTAGAAACAACAACCAAGGTAGGCCTCATGAGAAGCAGGAACACCAGGCATTGAAAATTCAAGTCTATGGGTTCTTCGTGTATTGTCCCAAACTGCAGCCTAGAAACTAGTGCAAACACATTCCTGAGTTTCTGTGGTCCTCCTCATCATGTCCTATTTCTCTGAATCCCTAGTACCACCTGAAAACATCAGTCCCTGTTTCCAGAACTAGTCAGTGGACCTTTACTCTATCCTCATCACTGAATTCTGAAACCATGACCCTTTCATAGTGACTTTATGCTGCTTCATCTGGTGCCTGGAATCCAGAAAGCTTCAGAGTCAAGCCCCAGCTTACATGCTTCCCACCCTGTGACCTTAGGCCAGTTACTCAGGAACTGGGAACTCTCACTTTTCTCATCTGTAAATGGAGAGTATAACACTTATTTGCAGGAATGACTTGAAAATTCAGTGAGCTGCTGTATGTAAAATACGTGGCATAGGAGGGAGAGGGGACATGTTGGTGACAGTTTTGTTACTGTGGAATGCAGAAGTCTGGATCCTTCTAATTTCCCCTCCAGCACATCTTCCTATTCCGCCTCAAACATATTTCTTCTCGTTACTGAAGCAGTGTATTCTTTTATCAGGAAGCGTTTGGTGTGGCGGCATCAACTCATATAGACTGGAAAAAATAATGTTTTGCATTGCTAGGACTAGAACACAGGGTCTCATTCATGCTAGACATACAGTGGACCACTGACTGACTCCGCAAACTCCCAAACAAGCTTTCTTTCTTATGTACATGCATCTCGTTTATTAAAGAAAATATAGAGTATTGTTTATTAAACAAGATGAAGACAGTACTTTTAAAGACTCGACGTACAACCCTCTCTTTCTAGCTCGTGTCATTTCCTCTGTTCCAGTCTTCCCGCTTTGCACATTTCTTTGCCAGCATTGCTGTAACCGCTCATTTCCCAAGTGCTACTTACTAGACGGCTCTCAAGCCCAGCCTCGGGTCCAGCTCTCTGCAGTAAGCGTTTTGCCACCTCAGGCAGAAAAAAACAGCTGAACAATACAGAGAGAGTAGATATAATTTGTGGGTATGAAGTGAACTTCCAAAATATTGTGAGGGTAGAACCCTTTCTGAAGGTAAATTCTGTGATTTTCATGTCATGTCCTCATTCTCTCACTGGTGCAGTGAGCAGAGGTGCTCTTTCTGGCTGCAGTCCCTTTGTTTCTAGCCTGCTGCTGCTGCTGTGAATGAGGGGCCATTATTGCTGGTGCTCTCAAGTACCTGGCCACAAGCCCTGGCCACCTGGTGGCTCTGTGGGCTAGGCGGCCACACTTCCCTGGCATTTCCCCAGAGCTGTTTGGACTTTTGTTCTGTGATGAATGCTTGGTAGATCTCGTTTGTAGAAATGTTATACACCAGCATGGCTTTGTAATGCCATACAAAGGGAGAGGGGTTAAAAGGTGAAACCCAAACCTTCGATTAAGGATGGCTCCAAACAGATTGTGAAGTTGTCATGGGTTGCCCAAGCTTAGGAAAAATTAAAAATAAAGACAAAGCAAGAAGCCAAAATCAGCCTCTGTTTCTCAGCTGGGCTTAAGAATGGAAAAGCATGGGGCAAATGCCCTGGCTCCTCTCCTTCCAGACTCCAAAGGCTAGAGCTCAGCCCCAGGGTGGTTAAGAAATAGGTAGACCCCTTATCTCCCTCCACAACTTCACACGGTGCTGCTCACCTATTCTTTCTGTAGCTCTATGACTCCTTGAGCATGCAGAAACTGAGTATTTGTAAATCAAAATAGGACAAAATAATCCCTCTGCTCCTCTTGAGGCTCCCCCCGCCGTGTGTTTTAGTATTATGTGTCAGAGGCATGAGGAACAGTATTACTCCCTGTGTTTTTAATAATATTTTGAGGTAAGTGACAAGCTAGGTGTACACATAGGTGTTTCCTTCTTGGGGCCTCCCAGCCAGCACCTTCGTTCTCCTACCTGTAACAGTCGCTTAAGCAGGCTGAGGAAAACCTCCTCTGCCCCTTGCCCCTGTGTTTCAGAAAGGGAACACTGCTCTACATATCGCTGCCCTCGCTGGTCAGGATGAGGTGGTCCGGGAGCTGGTCAATTATGGCGCCAATGTCAATGCTCAGTCTCAGGTAATGGCTCCCTGGTCCCCAGCACACCTTTCTTTTCTGCCTCAGAATAGACATATTGGCTGAGGCATAATTCACATTCTCTCTCTCTCTCTCCCTCTCGCTCTCTTTCTCTCTCTCTCTCTCTCTCTCTCTCTCTCTCTCTCTCTCTCTGTAGCTAGGTCTAGATTTATTGCTTTCATGTCCCAGCAGTAATGAAGATATTATGTATTAATTTTCCAAGGTTAGACTACACATCCTAAGCATAGTGGGTTAGTCATTGTGGATTCCATCTTGATTCAGCGGGTCAGCCAAACTACATTCCACGTGGATCATATGGTTGGAGTATGAGGTTTGCTGGTTAGTGAAGAAAGGAATAGAAGTAGTCGGGGAAGGACAGGAGAGCTGGCTCAGCTGTTAAGAGCACGTACTGAGGATGTGCTTTTACAGAGGACCCAAGTTTGGTTCCCAGCACCCATGTTGGGTGGCTCACAATCACCTGTAACTCTAGTTCCAGTCACCTATAACTCCCAACACCTCTGGCCTCCACACTCATATGCACACACTCACATGGACATATACATAATTAAAAATAAAACAGATTCTTTTTACAAAGTAGAAGGGAATGTGTGCTAGGGGCTCACTCAGCTCAAGGTGGAGACCAAAGCACTTCTATGGAGTCATCCCCCCTCCTAACCTTTGGTAATAATTTCCCAGGGTCAGTGGTGACCTTTGACGTTGTTCCTGGGGCACGGTGAGGGTGTGATGAAAAGGGAGCCACCCTGTCACAGCTTGCACCTGTCTTCACATCTCTCCCACTCTAGTATGTTTTAATGGCCTCTTCTTTGGGTTTACAGAAAGGCTTTACTCCCCTGTACATGGCGGCCCAGGAGAATCACTTGGAAGTGGTGAAGTTTTTACTGGAGAATGGAGCCAATCAGAATGTAGCCACAGAAGTAAGCCCCTTTGGGAAATGTACTCACACTGGAAGTGTCTCAGGATCATGAAACAAATGATAGCACACAGTCAGACTGTAACAGATGATACCTACTCAGACCCTCTTAGCACAGAGATAGCAAACAAATGATACACACAGTTGGGACCCTCATAGTACACAGTCAGATACAAACAGAAGTTACAGTCAGCTCCTCAGAGCACATAGTCAGACTGCAAATAGATGATACATAAGTCAGTCCCTCATAGCACATAGCCAGACTGCAAAGAGATGATGCCGTCAGATCTCTTAGCATATAGTCAGATGGCAAACATGCGGTAATGGAGAACTAAGAAGACTGTGTGCACTGTGCAAGCACAGGAAGAAAGTGGGGTGAAGAAAGCCTTTAGGAGGAGGTGGCACTTGGGCTAAGCTTAGAGAGTGTAAAGGCCTTGGAAACCTATCTTTACTCTCCTCTGCCCAGGACGGCTTCACTCCTCTGGCTGTGGCTCTACAGCAGGGCCACGAGAATGTGGTGGCTCACCTCATCAACTACGGGACGAAAGGGAAGGTTCGCCTTCCGGCCCTGCACATTGCAGCCCGCAATGATGACACACGGACAGCTGCAGTACTTCTGCAGAATGACCCCAACCCAGATGTGCTTTCCAAGGTGAGGGAAGCCAGGAAGGGCACCAGGGCCAGCAGGTTGGCACTGGAAGACTGTGGGCTAGTGGAACCTTTAGTTCCTAGCTTTTCCTCTAGGAAACTAGGCCAGTGCTGACGAGCCAGCTATGTAATGGTGAGTTCAGCTCCCACTGTGCCTTTGGTGCCCAGCATTGGTATGGAAAGGCTTGGTGGGCAGCCCTGCCTTAGATTCCGGCTGAGATGGTGCGGGTGTAAGGGGCTAGGATGGTTTTGGCTACTTGGGGCATCCAGAACAGCACCCAGGAGGGCAGGGTAGGCCTCCAGTTAGACCACCCTCTCCTTCACATGCTTCCCTAGAGACCTGGGTGGTTATGTCCTGCTCTCTGGTATTTGAAGTACTGCTAACTACTGCTCAGGTAGTTGGGCTGCCAACTGTCCGTAAGTGGGCTGGATTGCCTCAACTGTTCACACTGTCTCCCCACTCAACCCTCTCTGCCACACCCCTGGCCTCTGGATTTGTTTGGATATGGAGCAGGATGATGACAATGGACCCTCTGGCCAGCTAATGGAGTCACATGCCTTTTAGGGGGCAGGCAGTCCCATGGACTCCATAACCTTTTCACTTGTGACTAAACTCTCTTCACAAGAGGGCATTCAGTTGGAGGTGATCCCAGTCTAAAGTTTGTCATGGCCACGAGACAAAGGCTGGAAGTCCCCCTGAGGTGGCAGCAAGCCTTTGGATACAGCTTGCCATAGGGCATCTCTCTACCCATTCCACAGATGTTGTCATTGGCCAAAGTTTGTTTTGTGTGTCAGGTCCTGTGGCCCCAGAGTTGCTCAGAATCCCTGTGCTGGTTCTGAGACAAAGGGGCCGGGATGTGACAAGCTCTTCTCCTCTGTTGTACCAGACGGGATTCACACCCCTCCACATTGCAGCTCACTATGAGAACCTCAACGTGGCCCAACTGCTCCTCAATAGGGGGGCCAGTGTCAACTTCACACCTCAGGTAACCTCGCTAGAGTCTGTTCACTGCCTGGGGCTTGGGGTGTCTAGAATTTGGGTCTGCCCTCTCACGTACATCCCTTGAAATCCACCTATGGGGGATGCTGCAGAAATGCCTATGGGAGCCAGAGCCCTAGTATCTATTAAGACACCTTGCTGGTAGTTTCCTGAAGGTCTTCCACTCAGTTTCCACTAGCTTTGTCCAGAGAAAATGCTAAACTCCAGGTGCCTATTGTTTAGGTGGACACAGGACACATTAGGATAATTACAAATGACTGGCTTTCTTCCTATCTGTTACTTTGCTCTGGGGGTTGTGGGCTTGGTCAACTTGTGGGGATTAACCAAAATACTATGAGGGCCTCATGGGTTCTGAATGTCTTAGGTGAGACATGCTTGCATAGTTAAAGTGGCTGATGTTCTGCAGAGGTCACAGGGCGGGGGACAGTGGTGCATACATAGCTACCTTTCAAGAACGACCTTGCTTTGATGTTCCCTGCTTCTTCCTCCAGAACGGCATCACACCACTGCATATCGCCTCCCGCAGAGGGAACGTGATCATGGTGCGGCTCCTGCTAGACCGGGGAGCTCAGATAGAAACAAGAACCAAGGTAGGTACCATCAGCCTTTAGGCCAGGGAGCAAGTTCTACCATTAAGTCTCACCAGAGTGCTAGGCTCTCAGTGACCCTTTCAGTGACATGGCACCCTCTTCCTTGAGTGGCCTGCAGTAATAGCCCGGTGCAGCAGGGACAATCACAAAACTGAGCTAAAGCCAAACTGGCCTAAAGACTGTATTGTCATTTCTGCATCTGGGAAAGCTGCTGCAGGCAGGCTTCTCCCACACAGCCACTGATGGCTGCCTTTTGGGCTTTCTGTTTTTCACTGTCTTATAAAGGATGAATTGACACCTCTCCACTGTGCAGCTCGGAATGGACACGTGCGAATCTCAGAGATCCTGCTGGACCATGGGGCACCCATCCAGGCCAAAACCAAGGTACATGCTCCTTCCTGGGAGTGACACCTTCTAAGCAATACTCCAGGTCAGCCAGACTTCCCTTGTTACTGTGGCAAAATACCTAACAAAAGCAACTTAAGGAAGGAAAGGTTTATTTCAGCTTACAGTTTGAGAAGATACAGTCCATGTCAGTAGCAGTGCACAAGGTGTTCACACATGTATACACACACACACACACACACACACAATTAAAGATAAAAAGAGTATGAAATCCAAAGTCTCTTCCAAGACTCAAGGTCCGTCTCTTAACTATAATCAAAAACAAGTTATGTACTTCCACTATAAAACGGCACAGAGTAAGCCTTCCCAGTCCAAAAGCATCGCAAGGAAAGATGGAACTAAACCAACACTAGAACCCAGCAGAGCAAACACCAAATCCTGTAGCTCCATGTCTGACATCAGGGGCTCATAATGGGCTTACGTGTCCTTGCCCCTCAAGTTCTACTGACAAAGTATATATAACCTCTCTCTTGGTCCTGCTGTGCTCAGTGCCTGCAGCTTTTCTTGGTGGAGATCCCACAGTCCTGGCATCCTTAGCATGCTGGGGTCTCCACTGCAACCTAGGCTTCACGGCTTCATGCAGTGACCTCTCCAGGCTTCCCTGAGAAGCTAATCCTGCCTCACGTTTGCTCGACCTAAGTGGTCTCTGAAACTGTGTGGCAAGACTCCATGGGGGCTAGAGAGATGGCTTAGCAGTTACTAGCACTGGCTGGTTTTCACAGAGGACCCAGGTTTGGTTCCTAGCACCCTTAGCAGCTAACAACTGCTTATAGCTCCAATTCCAGAGGATTTGACACCCTATTCTGGCCTCTGCAGGCATTGCATGACATGAGTGCACTTACATACATGCAGGCAAAATGTTCCTACAGAAAAATTCAAAATAAATCGAAAATAAACTTTTAAAGGCTCTGTGACCCCCTCAGTCTTGCATCTTTTATCTCTATAAAACCAGTTCCACCTAGATAGCATTGCCAGATTCTGCTGCCAGCTTGAAGTAGAAGCCGGCCCCTTTGCTGCACAGTTGTATTGGCCTCAGTGCTCCAGACCCGTCCTGGGAAAACATTTCCTTAGGGCTTGTGAGCAGGGAGCCCCCTTCAGTGGCATCCTCAGTGTAGATGCTCTCCTTTCAAAATGAATTCACATTTTCCAAAGACGGAGCTTTCATTGTGTGGACTCTTGACCCCAAGGCTCCTTCCTGCTGTCCACATGGAACAAGAAGTTTCTTTTTAATTGTGTTCCTTAACAGTTAGAGCTGCTTTCTCTACATTTTTTTTCTTTTTCCATTTGTGTGTGTGTGTGTGTGTGTATGTGTGCATGTTTGGCATATGTGAGAGCATGTGTGCACATGTGTATGCGTGCATGGGAAGGCTGGAGGATTACAGAGACTCACCCTCAATCCCTTCTCTAGCCTGAAGTTCTAAACTTCTTCATTCCTCCTGAAAACCAGTTCCGAAGGCCTCACTGCTATGGTGGACAGAGACAGGAAACTCGCTAGGGCCCTATGGCCTCTGGCCTCCCATCTAGATCTGAGTTCAGTGAGGACCTTGTCTCAAGGAAATAAGGCAGAGAATAATAGAGCAGGACTAGGTCATTCACTGGTCTCTACACACATGTCGAGGCATGCATACCTGCATACACACTTACACATATACCACACGCGTGTACCACACACACATGTGTATATGTGTATATGTATATATATATAAAATACCCCCACACAAAACAAAACAGTTCAGCTCAATGATATGGCTCAGTGGGTAACTGTGCCAAGATTGACTACCTGAGTTCAATCCCCAGGACCCACATGATGGAAAGAGAGACCTGACTCCTGCAAGTTTTCCCCTGAACACCACACACATGCTGTGGCACACACATGCCTCCCCGCTGCTCCACACACGTACACAATCAATCAGTTACTCAATAAATAAATGTTAAGGGGATCGAAGTCTTCTTTTACTGTCATTCACTACTCAAAGCCACATTAAAGCCCACCACATGTCGCATGCATTTATAGGACTCTATGGGCATTTGGGTAGCATTAGGGAGAGTTCTAGTTTTACAGATCTTGCAAGTTAAAAGAAAGAACATGCCCAAGATGGGGACATGATTTGGATAAGGTTGGACTGAGTGAAAGTGTGGTACAGGCCAACAAGGCCCAGGGGTCCAGAGTGGTCAGGGAAGGCGTAGTGTGGTACAGGCCAACAAGGCCCAGGGGGTCCAGAGTGGTCGAGGAAGGCTTAGTGTGGTACAGGCCAACAAGGCCCAGGGGTCCAGAGTGGTCGAGGAAGACTTAGTGTGGGTATGGCTGGAAAGGCTTGAGGATCGGACTAGATGGGAACAGGACAGGTGTCATCTGAGACCACCAGGAGCCCAGCTTGTTTGGGATTCACACTGAAGAAGACCGCAGGCAAGCTGGCAGACGTTATGCCGCCAGCACTGCCCTGAACCTCAGGCTGTCCTCAGAAGCGTTACCGTTGCTCTCCTTACTCCTCTTCCCACAGAATGGCTTGTCCCCCATTCACATGGCGGCTCAGGGAGACCACCTCGACTGTGTCCGGCTTCTTTTGCAATACAATGCGGAGATAGATGACATCACCTTGGACCACCTGACTCCGCTCCACGTGGCAGCCCACTGTGGTCACCATAGGGTGGCCAAGGTCCTTTTGGATAAAGGGGCCAAGCCAAACTCCAGGGCCCTGGTGAGCAGGGGGTTACTGGAGAAGGGGCTTCTAGGGGGATTGAAGAGGGAAGCGAGAGTTGCATGGATGCTGCTAAGACCCAGGGACAGCAGCACAGGCAAGTAGATGTTGAGAGTGTGTTTTCACGCTGCACTCCATGGTCTCCTGTGCCTGATACCACAGTCACACCAATAGGCAGAGGTCCAGCATGGATCTGTGAGTAAGAGACTTGAATCTGGAAACAGTGTTTATGATGTGCCTGGGGTTCAGGGCCCAGCCAGACTTAGAGCTGAAAGGCAGTGACATCTTAGAGACGGGTCTGGTTTTCAACCTACTTTGAGGTGGGGATGCACTGTCCTGAGCTAAGCACCTCTCCTCTCAAAGAGGCTGTGAATGTAGGCCTGGTGTGGAGATGAGATCAGGCCTAAAGCAGAGTCCTCCTATGGTTGTGGTCCTCCCTCTCCTTCACAGGCCAGAGGCCCCCAGGATGGTCCAGGGAGCCTCAGAGAGTGTCCAAGACCCCTTCCTCATGCTTGACCTTTCTCAGAGAAGGAAAATTGAGGAGGTGGGTGCTCTCTAGAGGCAGAAGATTCATTCATTCCTTCAAACCTGCTTGCACTGAGCACAGATCACACTCTGGGGTCACTGAGGTTTCCCAAGTTTGGTGCCGTTCACACTGGGGTTTCTATCCGATTCCCTACATGCTGCATCACCCCTAGCTTCTGCCCACTAGATGCTAATACCTCTCTGTTCCCCTAGCTGTGACCACAAAGACATGGCCATGTGTTTGAAGAGACCGCAAACCATCCCCCCAAGCTCACCTTGTTTGAGAACCATTGCCCTAAGGAGATAAAGCACTGAAGAGACAGACAGACATAAACAGACAGACCAAACCCTTGCCCCTGTAGAGGGAGTGTGTAGTGTAACATGCTACAGAGCAGAATCCATTTTATTCACAGTGTTGCATAGCTTCAGGCAGAAAAATAATTACTTGCCTCCCCAAAATGTTCTTTTAATGTAAATTTACCCTTGATGGAATACTGTAGATCAGGACCCTTTAGTATATCCAGAAATATGATAGAATTTTTTTTTGGTCTTTTTGAGACACGGTCTCCCTGTAGCCCCAGCTGTCCTGGAACTCACTATGTAGACCAGGCTGGCCTTGAACTCACAGATATCTGCCTGCCTCTGCCTCCCAAGTGCTGGGACTACAGGTGTGTGCCACCACGCCCAGCATGATTTTTTAAAAAGTTTCTGAACATCTTGTTCAGGAATATGCTTGATATATAAAGGGAAGGATACCTGTTTGTCCTGTCAGTTCAAAAATGATGTGGTCTATCCTTTGATCTATGAGTGTCTGCTGGTGGGCTGGGAGGGGCTCCCTGTACATCACATGACAGAGTTCCTTTGCTACTGTGTGAGTTCCTGATATGTGTATCCTTTGCATGGGCCACAGAATGGCTTTACCCCCTTACACATCGCGTGCAAGAAAAATCACATCCGTGTCATGGAGCTGCTGCTGAAGACAGGAGCCTCCATCGATGCAGTCACTGAGGTAGGAAAAAGTGCAGATGTGCTGGCTGTGCCCTGTACCCCCTCCACTGCCCTGAGATGGTTATTCTTCATAACTGTGTGGTTTCAGGGATGCAAGGGTGTATGACTGTGTGCAGGTACATGCATGTGTCAAGATTTTGAAAAGAAATGGATCAGGGTAGCTCAGACAGGGGGACTTTTCAAGATGGGAAATAATTTTTTGAGCTGTAAAAGTGATACAACTTGCCTGCCAGTGCGTTTGCGTCTGTGGTCACTTTCCTGAAAACAAGCCCCCTTGGTTTAAGTCTGTCTTCTCAGACAGCCATTTGCAGAGCTCGCAACAGCAAAAGAGCATCAGATACTGTGACTTGCTCTTGGCGAGGAAGGCTCAGTTCATGTCACTTTGTCTCTTCCAGTCTGGCCTGACACCTCTCCATGTGGCCTCCTTCATGGGACACCTTCCCATCGTGAAGAACCTGCTTCAGCGGGATGCATCACCTAATGTCTTCAATGTGGTGGGTCCTTAGGGACAATGAAGGCCTTGGCTCTGGTCTAAAGCTCTGAGGGGAGCTGTGGTGGAGCCTTTCTGCTCCTCTGTCCACAGAAGTGGGGTTCTCAGAATAGCAAAGGGTGTCAGATGTGGAAAGAACATTCCTGTCTATTGATGGTTTTCCAGTTAAATTTATCACACATCTTTACATCTTTGGAGTTTTATTTTGGATAATATTTTGGAACTTTTGTAAGTGTATCTAGAAATACATTCACACATTTGAATGTTCATTGCTCTGAGGTTTAGTTTCATATTACCTAGAATACTCACAGCCGTGGAGGAGCTGGCTTAGAGATTTGCTGAGCAGCTCTGGACAAAAACCCCACCAAGCTGCCAAGGCAGCACTCTGAGCTCTGCGTGTGTCCTTTTGCAAACCCAGCCTATGTTAATAGTTCTGTAATTATGTTATTTTATAGAAAGTGGAGACCCCACTGCACATGGCAGCCAGAGCTGGGCACACTGAAGTGGCCAAATACTTGCTCCAGAACAAAGCCAAAGTCAATGCCAAGGCCAAGGTGAGTTCTGGAGGCAGGAAGGGAAAGACCACAGGATGCAGGCTACTCCAGCCTGGTGGAGGCAAGTGTTCTCATCAGAAACCAGTGACTCAGTCACCATCACGTCCACAGCGCATCACCCTGAAAGCTCAGATTCTGCTTTGTTGGGTTCTGAGAGAGGCAGAGATATTTCTGCATCAAAGATATGTTTCTTTTAGAGTAACAGGGAGCAGGGCTAGCCTGCAGCATTTATCGGATTCATGAATAGTTGTGGTAGAAGGAAGGAAGGAGATTTAAGACTCGTCAATGAGAATCAGCCAGGACTCACTTGATCTAAAAGTGGAGGACTCCTTGCTGTAAATGTACATTTGAGGATGTCAACCATAAGAATGGCTGCCAAGTTTGGAAGTTGATAGGCTGAGGCACTCAAACCCAATAGCACCAACCCTATATGTGGAGCCCCTGAACCATGAGCCATAGCTTCACGTTGGGAAAGGATAGACCAAATGGCCATCTTCCCCCTCCACTGATTTGGATGCTCCATAACCCTTGGCATGGGAAACACCAAAGTACAGTTCAAACAGAAAGACAAGCGTATCAGGTAGGAAGGACTTGGGAGACAGGACTGGTTGCAATGGAAACCAGTTTACCAAGTGTCTGTTCTATACCCAACACTGTGTGAAACCTTTGTGTCCATTAGCTGCTTGGTTTGGACTCCAGCACTATAAAGTAATGCCACAGTTCCCACTGGGTAGGAATGCTGTGCCTTTGGGCAGTTAAATAATCAATAACCATGAAACTGATGAGTTGTAAGGATTAAATGAGGTAAAGCCTATTGTTTTCTATAGCTCAGAGGCTAGATGAAATTCCAGCTCTAACCCTCTCTAGGCTCCTTCCTCTATGAAATGCAGAGTTGAACTTGGTAAAGTTAACATTTCCAATTCTGTGTTTTTATGGGGGCCCAGGATGACCAGACACCACTTCACTGTGCTGCTCGCATAGGCCACACGAGCATGGTAAAGCTCCTGCTGGAGAATGACGCCAGCCCTAACCTTGCTACCACTGCTGGCCACACACCCCTGCACACCGCAGCCCGCGAAGGTCACGTGGACACCGCCCTGGCCCTTCTGGAGAAGGAGGCATCCCAAGCATGCATGACCAAGGTACAGCCACCTTCCCATTCTTGGGGCTGTCTGGGTTTAGTGGCAGACCTGTGGTCCCAGCACTTGGGAGGCTGAGGCAGGAGGATCAAATGAGCTCAGAAGCTCAAGGCCAGACTAGGCAACACAGCAAAATTGGGTCTCAAAAAACATATTTTTTTAATATTTTATTATTTTCATTTTATGTGTATGAATGTACTGCCTGCATGTATGTGAGTGCACCCGTGTTGTGCAATGTCACGGAGATCAGAAGAGGGCTTCAGATTCCCCTGGAACTGGAGTTAAGGATGGTTCGTAGCCGCCATGTGGGTGCTGGGAATTGAACCCGGGTCCTCTGCAAGAGCAGTCAGTGCTCTTTACCACCGAGCCATCTCCCCAGCCCCCCAAAAACATATTTTTAAGAAGTAGGCTGGGCCTGGGGATGCTGAAATGATCTTCCTTGTGATCTCGGGATACTGTAGGCCCACTATGTCATTTCCTTCCCCAGGAAGGGCAGTGGCTCTGGCCCCACCAGCCTCCATCTGTTTCTTATAGAGCAGTTAATTTGCTAAGCATTTGCTCTAGATCAATCAGACAGGTTCCTGAAATACAAGAAGGATTACGACTCAAGGGCTAGAAAGTAGCTCTGTGATAGAGTGCTTGCCTAGCATAGTTCAATCTCCAGTACTTAAAAATAAATAAATAAATAAATAAATAAATAAATAAATAAATAAATAAATAAATAAATAAAATTCTATAGGCATGGTAGCATACACCTGTAATCCCAACACTTGGGAGAATCAAGTAAGAGGGCTTAGGGTTTGAGTCCAGCCTGGACCACACATTAAGCCTCTGTCTCAAAAAGAACAAAAACCAAACAACCTCTGCCTTCAGTGAGCCAGCAATGATCTGACAGTACAGGAAGCCTCTGTCTCTGACACCTCTTCTAAGAAGTAGCCATACGGGGCTCCGGGAGTCCAGGTGACTTAGTAGATGGTAACCTCTTGCAAGGATCAAAACACTCAGGGCCTTTTGTCTCACTGGCATCCCCAGCCTTGGTAAGCTGGAAAGTGTCCAAACCATGCCTTTTCCAGGGCAATGGCACTGGCTCCTGTGGTCCTAACAGCCTGTGTTTCTCCTCAGAAAGGATTTACCCCTCTGCACGTGGCTGCTAAGTATGGGAAAGTACGGGTGGCTGAGCTGCTGCTACAACATGATGCACATCCCAATGCTGCTGGAAAAGTAAGTTTGAACTTCCCTCCCTCTTGGATTAGAGGAAACAAGAAGGGACAGAACAGATGTCACTACTGGGAATTCATCCTCCCTCCCTTCCTCTCTCTCTCTCTCTCTCTCTCTCTCTCTCTCTCTCTCTTTCTCTTTCTCTCTCTCTCAGCCTCCCAGGGAGAATTGTCTTTGGAGAAGGCAATCCTTCTGTCAAAGGCCTAGTCTGTCAGAAGGACCTGATGCCTTCTCTGAACAAGTGTGTTGATCACATTCCCACAAGGATAAGGAAATGGTCTTAGATCCTGCTGGATCAATGATTCTTCATCAAGACTGGCTTTGGGTGGATAGCTTTTTAAATTTTTGTGGGGCTGGTGATAGAACCCAGGATCTTGTACATGCTAGACTAAGTAGAAGGAATTATTTTGGGGGGGGTTTTGTTGTTGTTGTTGTGCTGAAATGAAGCCTAAGGCTTTGCACATGTTGGACAAGTGCTTCACCATTGAACTGTACCCCCAGCTGTTTTGGATGGATTCTTACCCACATTTTACCTCCATAAGAGAAATACTATGCATTGAAAAGTAGATCCTGATTACTAAAGGGCCTTCGTTACAAAACCCACTGGAGTGACGCTGTCCTCTCTTATGCTTTGTCACCCTGCAGAATGGCTTGACTCCCCTGCACGTTGCCGTCCATCACAACAACCTGGACATCGTTGAGCTTCTACTTCCTCGAGGTGGCTCCCCACACAGCCCCGCCTGGGTAAGGCCCCTGCACAGGGTTCTGTCAAAAAGCAGCCTTGGAGTTTGGGGGTTTTGTTGTTATTTTGGGGGGTTATTTTGGTTTTTTTTTTTTTTTTGATCTTTTTGAGACGGTCTCCCTATAGCCCCAGATGGCCTAGTACTCGCTATGTAGACCAGGCTGGACTTGAACTCACAGAGATCCATCTGCCTCTGCCTCCCAAGTGCTGGAACTAAAGGCGTGCACCACCACGCCTGGCTTGGGGGTTTTATTTTTTTTAATATTTTATTATTTTTATTTTATGTGTATGAGTGTATTGCCTGCATGTATGTGAGTGCACCCGTGTCGTGCAATGCTGCAGAGGTCAGAAAAGGGCTTCGGATTTCCACGGAACTGGAGTTAAAGACATTCATAGCCGCCATGTGGGTGCTGGGAATCGAACCCAGGTCCTCTGCAAGAGCAGTCAGTGCTCTTAACCACTGAGCCATCTCGCCAGCCCCAAAGGGGTTTTATTTTTCAAGCCCAAACATTTCCCCTCCCTTTCACAAATGTTACCTGCAATATCATTGCTATTTTTTTTTTTTTTTTTTTGTCTTTTTGAGACAGGGTCTCCCTGTAGCCCCAGCTGTCCTGGAACTCACTATGTAGACCAGGCTGGCCTTGAACTCACAGAGATCTGCCTGCCTCTGCCTCCCAAGTGCTGGGACTACAGGTCCGCTCCACCACGCCCAGCTCATTGCTGCTATTTTGGAACCAGTTATGGGACAGGAAGCGGTTAGCGCTGTTCTGTCACAGGGTCTTTCACAGAGGCAGAATTCAGTTTACACACTACATGCCTCACCATCAGCAGCTGTGGGTCAGTTGAGCTTTATAAACTGGGTAATCAAAAGTCAGTGTGGGTTAGTCTTCAGGGAGCCACAAGCCTGTTTTCAGAGATCTCACTCACTGGGACTGTGTCACCCACCCCAGAATATCCCATTCTGCACCCGCCTTCCAAGTGTTCTGCTGCTCAGTGCAGTGGCCATGCCTGGAGGGACATTCAGACTGCCATGAGCTCTCTGGAATCTTGGAGTAGGGGGTCTCTTCCGAGTGTGATAGTCACCCCCACTTCTCTCATGAGTACAGACATTGACATCTTGGCTTTTTAAAAATGAGGAACTCCTGCACAAATTCTGTTTTGTGTACATATCCAGTCTGCCAGTCTCTGAAATGAGCTGGACTTCTTGACCCTTGAGGGACCAAAGCCAGGGAGCAGGAATACAAAGATAAGCCAGAACACAAAAGGAACATTTTGGGTACTGGGCTGCCCCTTGGGCAAGGTGGGGTTTGTATCTGTGAGAGGTAGGAGATCACTGGGGTCAGAAGAGGAGAGGATCAGGGCTACACACATGAGATACAGTCGTGGTCCCTATACCAGGAGCCCTGCCATCTGACAGGGCAGCCAGAGAATGATCTATGACAGAGCTCCGTCACATAGCAGGAGTGTCAGTGCTACCCACCAAGGAGGAAGGGAGTCCATGGATCACTTCGCACTTCCAGCTGACACCGGTCAACTTCACCGACCGGGGAGAGCACCAATGCATGCTTCAGTTTGTTTTCCTGTTTGGTGTGATGCTCACCTCAACTTACGGCACCCATTCCTTGCAGACATGGCATCTCCCAGACAGTCCTTTTCTCCTTGGGCTTCTGTCCTGCCGCCTGTCTCTTGTTGTAGTGAGTCCTACGTCACTGTGCAGAGGGAGCACATATCTCTGCTAAGAAGTCGACTTACTCCTGCCTCTAAAAATAAAACACTGGACTCCCCTCCTCCTCCTCTCTCCCACTTATATAAAAGGAGCTGGAGCCAGGTCCATGATATTTAAAGAGAGTGAAATGCAAACTCAAAGCCTGCACAGATGGGGTTTGTTTCCATGGCAAAATATAGTTTCCAAAGTAGTCTGGCAATTTTGTAGAATTTCACAGAAAATCCCTCTGCACCCAAACCAATCCCTGTCTTCTGAATCTGATGCTAATAGTCTCTCCCTCGTACATTCCTTCCCTGAGCTTATTTCCTTTGAAAAAGGGAGCCACTTGCTGGCACACATTTCTGTCTGATCACTCTCTAACCTAGTTGCTGCTTGTCCTTGTCACCCTCGAAAGGTTGTCACTCCTTTAGTCCTCACTTGGTGTCACGTGCCCTGTGATGTTCATATCTCCATTGTAACCAAAATGATACGGATGCTTTGACTGTCTCCAGGGCAAGCTGGCCAGTCAGAATCATTTCACACCAGTGTTTCGAACACTCACAGTATACAAGTGGCCTGGGACTCCTGTTGCTATGACGATGAACATACTGAAAATTTCTTCCCTGACTGTGCCTAGCACATTAAAAGAAGTTCTGATGAGTCTAACTTTGCTGTAGTGAGTGGCTGTCTCAGGCCAGCCCTGGCTGTGCTTCTACCTCATCCTGTTCCATTGCGATATCTCATGGAAGATGAGTTTTTGGAGATGGTTCCGTGTCTCAGGCCTGACCCACTGAACTGTGTCTCCTTTCCTTGCTTACTTTGAATGCAGTACAGAAAGTATTCTGTTTAATTTTACTTTGGTTGAAATACCAATCTTGTTATATGAGCACAGCTTATGTGTCATGTGTTCTCCCAATACAATTCAATTAAAAAGGTGAAATACTAGAAAGAATTGCCTTACATAGTTCTGCAAAGACAATGGATTTTTCTAATTCAATTCAATTGGGGGGGATAAATAACAACTTTTTATTTTCCCATTAAAGCAACCTTCAGACTGATCTTGCTGTCCTTCTCCACCCTCAGAGGTATATGACTGGGATTTCTCCATATTGACCAGCCCTTTCTTTTCCCTTAGCTCCTCATCAGTAGTCCTGACAGACTTAGAAATGTTGGTGTCCACATCCAGTTGGTGACTGACAAGGGAAAGTGCAAAGAATGCTGGCCAGCCTGGGGAGGCAGGTGTACACAGCCACCATCTGCTGTGTGGCTGGATGGGCACAGGTCCAGGAGGTCATGGATCCTATCCTGGAAGGCCCCCACCTGACTCCTCCCTCACCCTGAGTATTTTAGGGCCTGGCTACTCAAAGTGTGTTGCCTGGGAGCTGGTTAAGAACACAACACTAGCCTGCTCTAGACCTGTGGATCAGAATCTGCACTTGAACAAGGATCCAGGTGCTATGCACAGACATCACAAGCCGGCAAGACCTAGAATCAGCCTGTCTGTTGCCTCATGTTAGAGAAAGCATGCTACCTCTCAGAGAATAGTTTTATCACAATATAGGGTAGTAACACAGATACCAGACTTACTTCAGTGCATGGTTAGGGTAGAGCTCAAATAAAGATCACAGAAGCAGAAGTGGCTTCCAACACAATAATCACTTGGCCCATCTGTAGCCTATCAACTGTCTGCAGTAGGATGAGGTGCTTTCTCAGACTCCAAACCCAAGCATTGCTTCATGACTAGGTTATGCTACCAAAAATAAAATTTAAAGCCAGGAGTGGGGTTTACACCTGGAATTCCAGCATAGGAGAGTCTGAGGCAGAAGAATAGCCTCAAGTTTGAGGCCAGCCTGGGTCAAATAGTTCTAGGCCAACCTGGACTTCAGAGTGAATGAGACTCTGCCTCAAATACATACACATACATAAATACATACATACACACTACATACATACATACATACATACATACATACATACATAAAAGTAAATGCTTAAGAAACAGTGCAGGGTAATATCTCTTCACCTTGTCTTGGGCTTGCCTTCTTGTCTTGCCCAGCAGTATACTGAAAAACTACCACACAGTTGAATTACTCTCATAACTCAATTTTGGGAAGTACCTTCTTTAAGACTACATTGTCACATTTGATCCTCCCAATAGTTTTAAAAAATAAGCAAGGCAGATGTTTCCCCTACTTTTAATGACTTTTTAAAAACAAGTCTACATAGTAGACTGTTTTGTCTCCGGTCACACTGGTTTGGAGTGGAACAGGACTGCCTGGCTCCCACATCCCTGACTCCCCTGCCAGCAGGTCCAAAGCATAGTGCTGGGCCTGGTTGAATAGGGAAATGTAGAACACCAGTTTCTTTGGGGGCAGTTAAAAAGAACAGGTGTGCATACTCCAGAGGAACTGTGAGCTTGTCAAAAGCAAATCATCCTTTGGAGGGTTTGAGACAGGGTCTCACTATATGGTCCAGGCTGGCCTCAGACCCTGTGATCATCCTGCTTCAGCCTCAAGCATCCTGAGACTTACAGGCACGTGCCATTGCATGTGATTCTGTTTCTTTTCCTTATGGAGCATTTGGGGTTTTGAGTTCTCACTGCAGTTCTTACCTGTCTCACTTTTAAATTGGAATCCAAATTCTGCTTGGAGGCAGCACTTCCTGCAGGAACTCATCAGAGCAAGACATTAGGAGATAGATGGTGAGAAGGGTCAGGTATTTGCCGGCTGTGGGACTTTGAAAAGCCAGCTCCAAATCCAGTCGTTTGTCTGTTTACTGGTTATTTAGTGTGCTCTCCTGGGTAGCAACAGCCTTGCTCAGAGGGTGAGCCAGGTCTAGCCCTCAATCATCCCCTTCCGTTACTACTTTAGCAGGCCTGTCACCTTGCTCTGGTGGTTTCTTCTGTTTCAGAATGGCTATACTCCTTTGCACATCGCCGCCAAACAGAACCAGATGGAAGTGGCTCACAGTCTGCTGCAGTACGGAGGGTCAGCGAATGCAGAGTCTGTACAAGGTGTGACCCCACTTCACCTGGCTGCCCAACAGGGCCACGCAGAGATGGTTGCTCTGCTCCTCTCAAAGCAAGCCAATGGCAACCTGGGGAACAAGGTAGGCCCCTCGGAGTTCAGCCTACAGTCTCAGCAGTGTAGGTGTCAGCTTACCAGATAGAACCGCTCTGTGCCGAACACTTCTCTGTGCTGTGTGGTACGATCTTGATAACAACCCTCTGTAAGTTTTGTCTCAGTGCCATACTGAATCCAGTTAGAGGCTGCATGTTCCTCCCTCAGACTGTGGGACCCTGAGGCTCTGTTAGCCTTCCTGCACCATGCTGTCTCACTCCCCTGAGCCTCTGTAAGATGACTACTAGGAAACCCAGAGTACGCTTCTCCCAATCTAGGCCAGTGTCTACATTCAGGAGTGTATTACATAATTCGTAATGAATATCTCTTTTCTGTGGTGGAAAATATATTTTCAGTGCTGACGTATGCATTAGACAAGTAGTTCTTGACCCACGACCTTCAGATATATGAGTGTGAAACCTTCTAAACTTTTACACACCAGTTTGCAAGAATGGACACAAAAGCACTTTTATGGATGAGGTGTGTATATTTTTCCTCAGCCTCTCAAAAGAATTCATGTCCCAAGGAAGGTTAAGAATTGCTTCTTTTTTAAATAACAGTTTTATTGGAATGTAATTCTCATTAAATTTACCTTTTAAAATGTAAAAATCCAGGGAGGGGGGTCTTAGCATGTTGGGAATTGGAAAACCATCACACTATCAAATTTTATTTTATCACTCCCAAAGGAAACCTCATCTCTGTTATCAGCCATTCCCCTCAGCACCCCAATCCCTAACAGCCACTAATCTGTCTCTATGACATTGCCTACTCTGGATATTTTGTAGAAATGGAACCATGCAAAATGAAGAACAACTTGTGTGTGTGCGTGTGTGTGTGTGTGTGTGTGTGTGTGTGTGTGTGTGTACACATGTGTGTGAATGTGCTCACCTGTGAGGGTATGTGTGGAGGCCACAGGTTGATGTCAGGATGTCTTCCTGTTTCTCAGCATTTTTTGAGACAGTCTCTCACAAAACTTGGAACTTCCTGTTTGAGCTGGACTGACTGGCCAGAATGCTTGCACATGTACAGGTGTGTGTGAAGGTCAGAGGTCAACCTTAGGTGCCTTTGGAGCTGTCCACCTTATCTTTTGAGGCAGGATCTCTCACTGGAACCTGAATTCTCTGATTAAGCTAGGCTGGCTTGCTGGCAAATCCAGGGACCCTTCTGTCTCCACTTACCCAGAAACACTGGGATTACAGGCATATGCTACCATACCTGGCTTTTTACATGGGGATGGAGCTCAGCAAGCACTTTTCTGACTGAGTCACCCCCCTAAGAACCACTTCTTTAGATGATAAATTAATCTAACAGTTTCAGGAAGGCAAGTATTTTAAAGGTAAATTTAGGATTTCTTAAAATCCTCTGGAGATACCAGCTCTTTTTGGACAAGTAGTCCCAAAGCGAGAGAACTGTCATTGTGGGACTTGTATACTGTGAGGCTTTCTGGAGGTCTTATCACTAAGTGAGCTGTATAAGGAGCCTGTGATGTTGACATGTCTTTGTTCTGGAATCACACTGCCTTACCCACGCAGCAATCTCCTGAGGCTGATTCTTTGTGTCACTCTAAGCTATGCAAGGCACCTGTGTGGGAGGCTGGCGGTAGACATGGTGGTATCAATGCATAGGCCTCAGTCAGCCTGGGGAGGCACAGAAGGCAAGTGGAGTCATTTGGTGGGGACACTGCCTGTGTCTGCAGGGGAACCAGAACTAGGCTTGTCTCATCAGCAGCATAGAGTGTAGAGATCGAATAAAGGAAAGATTTTCCCAGTGCTTTTGTGCAAGTTCCCACATAGCAATCAACATCTTGACACACTGCTGTCCTCATGGGAAAATTAATAAGTCCAAGAACATAGTCCTTTCACTCCCAGAGGGCTTGATCCTCTTTACAGTGTGACAGGCTGTGAGGTATTGGCAGGATGTGCATTCAAAAGATGCTTTCCAACATGATTCATCATGAGCAGTGCTTCCTCAATGGCAGCCTCTATTTCCTAGAACAGGGAACCAAGGCCCTGGAGCTTTCCATGGAACTAACAAACACCACAATTGAAGGCCATCATGAGGTCCATCTATTACCTGTGGGCCAACTCCAGCCCACTACTTATTTCTGTAAATAAAGCTTTATTGGAATATAGCCATGCCCAATCGGTTCCAAGTTGGACAGAGCTATTTATTACTAGACTTGGCAAAGTTACAAAATTTAGGTTTCACACTCAGATATTTGAAGATCCTGGGTCAAGAACTACTTGTCTAATGCATAGGTCAGCACTGAAAAAATATCTTCCATCACAGAATATAGATATTCATTATGAATTACGTAATATACTCCTGAATATAGACACTGACCTAGATTGGGGAAGTGTACTCTGGGTTTCCTAGTAGTTGTCTTACAGATGCTCAGGGGAGTGAGGCAGCATGGTGCAGGAAGGCTTAGGGCCTCGGGGCCCCACAGTCTGAGGAACAAGCAGCCTGGAAGTCTTCCCTGGCTCAAAGCTGATGGACATCTGTCTTTTCAGAGTGGACTCACTCCTCTCCACCTGGTAGCACAAGAAGGCCACGTTCCAGTGGCGGACGTGCTGATCAAACACGGTGTCACAGTGGACGCCACCACCCGGGTAAGGCAGGCAGCCCTGTGCGAGGGTCCCCTTCCCCTGGCTACACACCCCATCTGAGGCCCACCAGCGGGCACGCCCTCATACCTCAGAACTCTCTCTTTGCCACTTTTCTGCCATTTCCTGGACCTGACAGGGAATCTGAAGGCACCAACCCTCACGATCACTCTTTTTGATTGGGAATTTTTTTAAGCTTGCTAGACATTTGAGGCTGTCCCAAGAACTTGGAAAGAGTGTTTGCAAGTGACACTAAGTAGTAAGCATGTGAAGGTGCCAGGCTTTGCCAGAATCTTGTTAAAAGGGGTTTGACTTTGAAAGCTGAAGCTCTCTGTGGCAGGGAACCCTGTGTCATAGGTGAGAGTGCCCGAGTGTGTGGTTCACAGCACATTTGCTGTTTGAAGCAGAGGTGGCTGTAGAGGAAGGAGCTGTGGAGTGTGGCATCGGTATAAGGAGGTGGCAGCCCAGAGGCCCACGTAGAGTCTCCAGCTGGCAGAACGGAGGAGCAGGAGACACGTTTGGTTCCTATTGTCCCAAGGCAACTGTATTAAGTGTATGAAATAAACAGGGATGTGGCTCAGGGTAGATAGTTTGATTAACACGTGCAAGGCCCTGAGTTCTATCCCCAGCACTGAAAATAAAAAAGAAGGGACAGAGTGACAACCACCAGCACACCCCTACACTGTTCCACAGGAACACTAGCCACAATGTGGATAACACCTGGAGAGACAGTATTCTGTGGGTTAAAATAACCTCAAAAATTCCAAAGCCATCCCAGGTTGTGAAGGTCTGGTCCACACAGTCTGTGTTAACAGGGTCCCTGGAATCTTCCAGTGACTTCTAAGAGACATCAAAGGGCCTGGCTTGTTAGCCATTTGGGCACAGCACCAAAGTGGTCAACAGGGGCTGGGACAGAGCTCATGTGTGGAACACTTGCTGGCATATCAGAGTTCTGGTTCATTCCCACCAAAGACAAACAAAATTCCACAGGATGAGTCTTTGAAAATTAGCTCTGCAGCCCACAGTCACATGAACGCCCACAGCGCATTCACTGTAGGCCACGGCCAGTTGCTACAAACTCTGGTAACTCAGCCGGTGTCACAAGGCTTATAGTGGGATTCAACCCTTCTAGTAGAAATAAGCCTGCTGTTGTGAGGGTCATTGTGATACCGCATGGCCATCTGCCCTTGCATTGCTCTTCTCAGCAGAGAGCCCTCCTGGTATGACTTCCTCTGAACCCTCCACTTCCTTTCTAAGTGCAACCACAGCCCTTAGGCCTCACTTACTCCTCTCTCTGCTTCTTGTAAGCTGCCTTGCTCATCTCCAAGTCTGGTGACTCCCAGCCTAGATCTCTGCAGGGTTCATGTCCACCTTCCAGTCGCCGGCTCAGCCACTCCAGCAACATCTCAGTCCTCACGTGTCTGACACTGAGCCCTGCCCCTTCTCTGACCAGCACCAGCAGTACATCTCGTGGGAGCTGTCTTCCTTTCCCTTGGCTTCTTTCCCCTTCCTTAATCAGCTGTAAGGATTCCGTTAATGCACGGCTCCAGTGGTGCTTGGTGTGCCTAGATGCCTCACCGGTCTCCTCATCTCTTACCTTTCAGATGGGTTACACCCCACTCCATGTCGCCAGTCATTATGGAAACATCAAGCTGGTGAAGTTTTTGCTACAACACCAGGCAGATGTCAATGCCAAAACCAAGGTACAGGGGTGCCTTACACCCAACTCTCATGCTGACAGCTCCTAAGTACTCACTTAGGTGGCAGTCAGAGCTACTCTGAGCACGCCTGGCCCTGCCTCAGTCTTGAGCTTTGAACCTGAAGAAGGAAATGTAGAAAAGGCAGTGTTTTCCATCATGTAGAGAGGGGCCTGGCATTTGTGTGCAGCTAACTGATCTGCCAAATGTCTGCCTCGCTTCATAGCTAGGATACAGCCCTTTACATCAAGCAGCCCAGCAAGGACACACAGACATCGTAACGCTGCTCCTGAAGAATGGTGCTTCCCCAAACGAGGTCAGCTCGGTGAGTGCCCTCCCAACCCCATTCCAGACAACTGGGGCGGGGGGCATCCCTAACTGTAGACATTGCTGCTACCCTGGATTCTGGATGGAGCTGTACACAATAACGTGGCAGCTGCCTTGAGTATCCTGCGGTCTGGGTGTTGGAGTGCATTTCTTCCTGGTGTCCGGCAAGTATCCTCTCCAAGCACTGTGCCTCCTTCCCGCATGCTTTCAACTATTCTTCTGAAACTACCTTCAGTTGGTCCAAGTAGACAAATTAAATGCTTTGGGCCACAAAGTCACCCTGAGCAGCTTTGGTGATTGGTGATTGTTGCTCAGGGTGAACTTCCTCTCTTAACTGTTGTAGTTTGTCACATTGCTTCCATGGTTACTCCCAACTCTGCAAGTACATGACCCCTTGTCTGTAGCTGTGGTTGTTGAGAGTACTGAACCCATGTGGAACCCAGGCACATTCTGGAAGCAGAGAACTTAAAAGAGAATGAAAGCTTTGATATTGAGTGATTTTTTTCATTGAGCTTTCTTTTAAAATCAAAGTAGAAAATATATCCCTGTCCCATTTTGGGGCATTTGTGAATTCTGACTGCTCTAATTAGGTAATTAAGCTGAGGTACTTTAACTATCAGATTGCTCAGTTACGGATACTCTAAGAACAAGCAGTGTACAGCATCGCTCTGCGGCTGGACTGACTGATGGTGGCTTCCCTGCATGCTCCCTCAGTGGACCTTCCCAGCAGTGCTCACCTGCCTTGGAGGGGCTCCTCTGCTGTCATTTCAAGACAGCAGTCAACACTGCAGCCTTACAGTGTCCTGCCCTCCTTCCTCCCTTGTCCCATCTCTGTGGGCCTCATGGCTCTTATACTTGTACCCAGATTTTCTTGGCTCTAAGGCCCAGTCTGTCTACTTGAGCCCTTCTGAAGAATTTAGTTGAACCTGGTACGAATGCAGGAGTTGGACTCTCCTCCCTGATTCCCAGTCTGATTGTCCTTTGTCCTAGAATGGAACCACACCTCTGGCAATAGCCAAGCGTTTGGGCTATATCTCTGTAACAGACGTGCTCAAGGTTGTCACAGATGAAACCAGTGTAGTGGTATGTCTGCCCCTCCCCTGAGATACCCTGCCTCATTCCCTGCCCAACAGGAACTGCAGCCACCTCCTACTTTAGGCAGGGCTATACTGCCACCTAGTGCTTGAAGAATTGGATGGGGCTTAGGGAAGGACGAGGTAATGGGGAGCCCGAGGTCGGTGATGGGGAGCCTGAGGTCCCTCATTATCCTGCCTGTAGCACCTCCCAGGCAGCAGCTTCCAGGGCAAGTGCCTCCTAGGCCTGATTTTCTTTGAGGGCACACCCTTCCCTTCTGCCCTTTCCTGGCTTCTGCCCTGCTCCAGGTGGGTCCAAGCTCTGCCTTTTCTCTTTTCAGTTAGTCAGTGACAAGCATCGGATGAGCTACCCAGAGACAGTGGATGAGATCCTGGATGTGTCTGAAGATGAAGGTAAAAATCTTCAGTGATGAGTTCATGCTGCTGGGGCCAGGGGCTCTGTGCCCCCAGGCTGCTCTCAGAGTCCTTTTCAGTGCATCCACGCTGTGCGTACAAGGTGTTCATTGAAACTAGGGAGACCCGCTTCCCACTGATGTTGTCTATTGCCAAGAAGACCCCTTTCAGATGTTCTTACGTGAAGGAAAATTGACATCTTAGAGGTTAAAACTTGAAATCTCATGTCTCTAAGTGCATGTTTGTCGGTGTATGTGATATACCTGATCAAGTGTGTGTCTACTTAGGGTAACTCTCAGATCTGGGAGCAGCAGCAACATCTGGCTGCTCTTTTCCTTGAGCTTCAACAAGTAACAAAGCAGGTCGTTTAAACTGAGAATGCATTGTAGTTGGTTGCTCTTCCGATCATGTGATGGGTCAGAGAGTTTGGAGTCACAGCCTTTATTGTTACTAAAGCTTCGACTTTCTGAATTACAGAGCATTTTTAGCCTTCTTCCTTCCCCATGTAAACCTATTTCCTCACTGAATCTAGGGAACCCTCATGATATAGGACGGGGGGTGGGCTGGGTTTGTTCTGTACCTTTCTGTCTGGTATTCAGTGGTTATATGACTGTCAGCTAGACAATTCTAGCTTTTCTTGTATGTATCCTTTTTAATAACATGCCTCTCCCTTTACTGAGTTGGATGCTGTCATTCCTTCAACTTGGCTCTTCTTTGCCTTCTAGGAACTGCTCACATAACTATAATGGGTATGAAATGCTTTCTGTTCCCTGTGGTCTTTCTCACCAGAACACATCCCACCCTTAATAAGCTCCTGAGTCCTCACTAATCATCCCTGCTTTCCACCCTCCGCGGCCTCATGCAGTGCCCGGAGCTGACTAAACAGGACGTGCACACCATGCGACCAGTGCTGGTGGTAGCTTCTGCCTGATCATCTCCATGTCTGTGCCCATGCCACTGTGTTTGTGGTTATCATGCATGAACAGTTGTAGTTCCATCCTGTCAGCTCCAGATCATAAAGGCAGGGCTCCTGCTGCTGGTTGATGTTCATAATGGGCCCAGGGCTCAGGCTGCTGCTCCAGCTCAGGTAAAGGAGGGAGATGAAGGCAGTGTGGAGTCCAGGCTGCTGATTTGGGTACAGGTAGCTTGAACCTCTTTATGGGATTTAGGATTACAAATAACAGTCCTATAATGAGGAATTTTTGAGGCAATGGAAGTAATAATGGAAAAGGGTTTCGGTGACAAAAGAAAGCTACAGCCTTCAGTGTCTAGATGGATGCAGTCCTGTTTATCCCTCCATAGTGGCAGATTAGAAATGATCACTAACAGTGACTCTGTGATGTCATTGCACATGCCGAAAGAGTTGTGTGGTGAGGAACTTGTCAGACTAAAAATCTTCCTGGCTGTGTTATTTTCCCACCTACAAATCTAGGAGCAGACTGGGGTTAGGAACTGGCCAGCCCCAGACTCTAAGGCTGGAGGAGTAGGACTGAGCACAGTTACAGCTAATGGGTCCCTTGGGGCATCAGAGACCAGACTTCCCTCCACTTTTGAGGAGTCATTGAGAGTGGACCAGGAAAAGTACTCACTCACTTGAGCTCATGTTTTTCAGGTGAAGAATTTGTTGGTTCCAAGGCTGAGAGACAGGACTCTCAGGATGTGGGTGAGGAGAAGGAGCTGTTGGATTTTGTGCCGAAGCTAGACCGAGTGTAAGATGGACTCAGTGGGCATCACACTATGGCTACAGGGTGACAGGGCCATGCTGTGGGACCCAGCAGGGTGACAGGGCTGTGCTATGGGACCCAGCAGGGTGACAGGGCCATGCTGTGGGACCCAGCAGGGTGAGAAGGACGTGCTGTGGATAGTCAAGTGCAGCTCTAGGATGCAGAGTAGAACTGTGGATGAAGGCTAGACCCTGGTATGCCCAGGGAGGGAGGGACTTCAAGATACTGGAAGGTTGTGGGTTAGCATGTAGACGAGTTGGGTGAGGTGAGGGGCTGACCAGCCAGGTCACTGCAGGCCTGTCACTTAGGTCTCCACGGAAGGGGTAGAGAAGTCTGCTTCAAAGGCTCTGCTCTTTGATTGTCTGATGTTCCTGACTCATAGGGTGGAATCTCCTGCCATCCCAAGGATTCCTTGTGTCACGCCTGAGACTGTGGTGATCCGGTCTGAAGAGCAAGAACAAGTAAGAAGCGCCTTGTCTCTTATCTGCCCATTTGCAGAGTGGGGACATTAGCCCAGGATGGTGATTGTTTTAGGATGACCTGGGAGGCAGTAACAGCTAAAACAGAAAAGCTTAGTGTGCTTATAGAACACCTTCAGATTCATGATTCCATGTGTTCCCTGGAGCCCAGTGCTGTTGGAGTTCTTGTTATCCCCACTGGGACTTCTGGGAGCCGCCGAGAACTCAGGCATGAAGCACCATCCTAATGTGCAGAGATGCTGGAAGGTGTCTAGGCCAGCCAGTTGCAGGGCTGGGAAGGAAACCTTCTCATGGGGCGCAGCCTGTGCTCTGTGAAGCTCCAACATGTCAGAGCTCTGTGCTTCCCGCCTCTGGCTAGAAGTTGGCTGCTGTCTCCTCAGTTCCTTCTTTTTTGTCCCCCAGGTGCTAGGGTTGGAGCCCAGGTGCTTGCACAGGTCAAGCACAGACCTCTAGCCCAGCATCTCTCTCCAGCTCTTTGCTTAAGTCGTTATCTCAATCAGAGGTATATGCTACATTCCTACTAAGTACCTGTACAGGAATCCATGTAGGAGGAGGGACAGGAGCAGATACCTTCGAGAAACTGCTGTTGACTGTTACGTGTGGATACGTGGGACCAGTGGCACACAGTGTGGGAAGGGTGATCAGTGAGGGGCTTGGCTGGTTGGTGTGAGCCCTTCCAGGATACTGAGAAGGGAAACTAAAGCCAAGGGAGGCTGCCCTGAGGTGTGAGATGTGAAGATGGGCAGGACCACACTAACAAAGGGGAGGAATCAGGACTTGGTGAACTAGGGGGACACGTGAACAAAAGCAGTCGCACATCACAAGCCTCAGTTCCTTAGGTGAGAGAATGCCCTCCTGAAACACGTACATGCTACACATGTCCCTGAGATGCAGGGCACTGAGACCAGGTGAAGACCTTGCTAGCTATCATGAGTTCTTCTGGTATTCAGGGCCCTGTCATAACACAATGTGGAACCCTTATTTGGCAGGGTTACTGTAAGGCAAGAAATAGTCTCCTTCCACAGGTGGGGAAAAGGCCTCATGGGTTCACCTCCCCAACGCCCAGTACCCACAGCATGTAGCCAGGAGGTAATGGTATGGGATGTGGAACCAACTCGAGGGAAAACCATGGGGAACAGCAGGAGAAAGGGGTGGGAAGGTGGGCAGTCTATGCAGAAAGCAGGGGACTTGGAGCCAACTGAAGAGCAGGCAGAGGCCCTGCGGTGAGCGGAAGCCATGCTCCTTTGGAGAGTCCTAGGATACCTTGTCCCAGGTCATGGCTCATTATGTAGAAGCTGCTTTTTCCTGAAACCTGAATCTCGGGTCCTGGGCACCTGTTTAAGTCATCTGGCGTAGTGAGATAGGACACGGGAGGCCTTTTTCTCCTCTGCAGGCATCCAAAGAGTATGATGAGGACTCACTCATCCCCAGTAGTCCAGCCACAGAGACCTCAGACAACATTAGTCCAGTGGCCAGCCCCGTCCATACAGGGTGAGTGGTGCACAAACCTAGAATCCACTCTGCCTGGCCTCAGGAGGAGAGCCAGTGCCGATGTGATCTGTGTTTCTAGGTTTCTGGTGAGCTTCATGGTCGATGCCCGGGGAGGGTCCATGAGAGGGAGCCGCCACAATGGCCTGAGGGTGGTAATCCCACCCCGGACGTGTGCAGCGCCCACACGCATCACTTGCCGTCTGGTCAAGCCCCAGAAGTTGAGCACACCACCCCCACTGGCTGAGGAGGAAGGCCTGGCCAGCAGGATCATTGCCCTGGGACCTACGGGGGCCCAGTTCCTGAGGTAAGATGTGCCAAGGGGGAATGTGTGTAACCGGGATCCCCAGCTTGGACCACCCAGGACCACCACCACCCAGGCAGAGCCCAGCATCTCATTTCTCGGCTGTAGTGACCAACAGACTGAGACTGAGAGCCTCTCAAACCCATGGAGTGCACGGGTCTGGCAGAGTTCAGTATATTCAGAAACTGCTGGAATGCTAGAGAAGAGCGTAGAGAAAAATGGGCTGCTTTGGGGCCCAGGGTTTAGCTATTGTAAGCACCAGGATGCTCACCTGGGAGGCAGTCCCCACAGTGGAACCCCCAAAACCCAGGAGAGGAATGGACTACAGGCAACCATCTCTCACCTGTTTAAAGCCCACTGAGGACCACTTGAAACTTTGTTACCCTTCAAGCACTGTGATGCCTAAAGTTGTGGCAGGTCCCACGTTTCCATCTCCAGCTGCCCTCTGTTACCCTCTGTGCTACCTGGAGTATGTTTTCTTACTGATTTTCCACCTACTGTTTTATCTTATTTATTGAATATTTATTGTGAAAAAGAGATTTGAACTCAGGGCCTCATGCATATTAGGCAAGTGCTTGCCTTGAGCTATAGTCCCAGGGTCCCTTTTTAGCATTTTTTTCATGAGACAGAGTCTCAGTAAATTGCTCACGATGGTTTTGAATTTATAATCCTCCTGCCTCAGCCTCCATAGTAGCTGGGATTAACAGGTTTACACCATCAAGCCTGGATGATTTTTCCCTTTAAATGTAGTCCTCAGTGCCTCCTTCTAGAGGAAATGTTACTAGGGCCATTTGAAGAAGGTCACATAACCTGTCTAGTGCTGTCAGGAGGGTTCCTAGAATCAGGTCTAGGATGAGATCATTCCACTGGACCTCAGATGTATGGGCAGGGCTGGAAAGCCGTGGGTCATGTGCCCCCTTCCCACTTACCCACCCACTGGCCTGAGAGAGTAAGAAAAGCTGTAGGAGCCTCAGGATTTCCATGGCCACAAGACCTTCTCCCTGCAGGCTATAGGCAGGGCCCACTGCCCCCCAACACTCCTCTACCTAGGCCGATGGCCCCCTCAAGAGCACCTTCCTACCCCCTGCCCTGTCCCTCCTCAGCCCTGTGATTGTAGAGATCCCCCATTTTGCCTCCCATGGCCGTGGAGACCGTGAACTGGTGGTTCTGAGGAGCGAAAACGGCTCTGTGTGGAAGGAACACAAGAGCCGCCATGGAGAAAGCTACCTGGACCAGATACTCAATGGCATGGATGAAGGTAAGGGGCCCTGGGGTCTCAGGTGGGTGTCCCCTTCGGGAAGATGGGATCTGGAGTTTCACTGTCGGGGTGGGCTGTCAGCATTGCCTGGGATTTGGGAGACTGAGAGAGGCTGGGAATGACCCTGCATGATCAAGCTCTAGGTTACCAGGACATGTGAGTGGGCGCCCCGCCACCCACTTAAGGCCTGCACTGCTTCTGCTGGGCCTCTGGGTCCAGGCCCTAATCCTTCCAGCCTACCTCCCTGCCAAGGCCCCAGGGAGGGTCTGAGCCAGCTTGTGGTTGCAGAGCTGGGGAGCCTGGAGGAGCTGGAGAAGAAGCGAGTCTGCCGCATCATCACCACTGACTTCCCTCTGTACTTTGTGATCATGTCCCGGCTCTGCCAGGACTACGACACCATCGGGCCTGAAGGGGGCTCCTTGAAAAGCAAGCTGGTGCCCCTGGTACAGGCAACATTCCCTGAAAATGCAGTCACCAAGAAAGTGAAGCTGGCTCTGCAGGTGATGAGCCCTTCCTCGCTGGTTCCTAGGGATAGATGGAGGTCAGACTCTAGGAGAGACAGTGCCCCTGAGGACAACCCCACGCTTTTGTCTAGGAAACCTGAGCTGAAAGCCCTGAAGAACACTGGGCAGGGAGGGATGATCAGATGCTCCTGAGGAGCTGCAGACAGCCCACCCAGACAGCAGGGAGCCACTGTGCATAGCTCAGCAGGAGGCCTTCCACAGGAGGCCTGGAGTGGGCCACTATGCTGAGCAAAAGCATGTCAGCATGAGAATGGGGGGCAGGAGGAAAAGGGCTCAGAAAGACACCTGAGCCATGGAGTCAGCCTGTGGGGGGCTCTGAATGTGCAAGGGGCAGTCCAGCAAACACGGCCACCTCCTCACCTGGGCATAGAGGGTCTGGCCCTGCTGCTGTCCTGCCCTGGGGTTGAGCTTTCTGCCTTTGACACTTCATAGGCCCAGCCTGTCCCAGATGAGCTGGTCACCAAGCTCCTGGGCAACCAGGCCACATTCAGCCCCATTGTCACTGTGGAGCCTAGGCGTCGGAAGTTCCACCGTCCCATCGGCCTGCGGATCCCACTCCCTCCCTCATGGACTGACAACCCCCGGGACAGTGGGGAGGGAGACACTACTAGCCTACGCCTGCTATGCAGCGTCATTGGTGAGTGGGGCTTTTGGACCCCTCCTGTTCCTTGAAGCAGTTCACCCTTTGGGAACATACTGGGTGGAGAAAAGGTGAAGCCAGAGGGATGCTCTGGGGAAGAGCCCTTCAAGCCCTAGGACAAGTAGAGGAGGAAAGGATAGAGTGCTCAGGCTGCAGACCAAACAAGTATCACCCAGGTGTGCCACCTCTGCCCTGCACACTGGGAAGCTTCATGTTTCCATCTGGAAGTGTCCCCTAACTCTCCTTCTGCTGTTGTTGCAGGTGGAACTGACCAAGCCCAGTGGGAAGATATAACAGGAACCACCAAGCTTGTGTATGCCAATGAGTGTGCCAACTTTACCACCAATGTCTCAGCCAGGTGAGGCTTCCCTTCTTGGTCCCACATGGTGGCCACAGGGAGCCATCCTCATGGCCTGACCTGCTGGAGCTTCTTCCACAAGGCCCCTGATCAGCACATGGGTAGTCACTGATGTGTGGCTAGCAGGTTGCCGCTGCCTGGATGACAACAGGGCTCACCATGGGACCACCAGGAACACGCTCACACCTTACCCTCTCTTTTTAGATTTTGGCTTTCCGACTGTCCTCGGACTGCTGAGGCCGTACACTTTGCCACTCTGTTGTACAAAGAGCTTACCGCAGTACCCTACATGGCCAAGTTTGTCATTTTTGCCAAGATGAGTGACCCCCGGGAAGGACGGCTGCGCTGCTACTGCGTGACAGATGACAAAGTTGACAAGACCCTGGAGCAGCATGAAAACTTTGTGGAGGTAGCGCGGAGCAGGGACATAGAGGTATGGTTCCACAGGGTCCCTCATACAGCCCCAGAAGGCTTTTCTTCACCCAAGGACATAAAGCCTGGAGCCAGGGTGACCCTCACAGCTGATTTTTGGAGGATGATGGCTAGTCCAGGCCAGAAATCCTCCCTCTAAGTTACAGGGACTGTTGGACTGAGTATCTTCAGTTCCCCTCCTGAGAAGCAGCTTAGGTAAATAAGCTACAACAAACATGAGGGTGGATGGTTGGCCTGCTCACTTGTGATTATAGGAATTAGCATTTATTGAAGTCCATATGAACCTGGCACACTTAAAAGTACCTTACGGGGCTAGAGAGATGGCTCAGCAGATAAGAGTGCTTACATGCAGAGGACCTGGGTTCAATTCTTGGCACCCATATCCAGCAGCTCCCAACCACCAGGAGACCTGTTGGCTTCTTCGGGTCTCTGTGAACACCTCCACACATGTGCATGTAAACTCACACATGAATAAAGAGATGAAAAAACAAATAAAACCTTTTTAAATAAAGCACCGTACTTGTACAGTAGGGTTTAAATCTTCTAACTGCGGGCACCTTTATTATCCCATTGTACACATTAGGAGGCCAAGACTGGGAGACACACATGCTGGGTAGGTGGTAGCTGTGGGATTTGCCCCAAAGCTCATACTTCTACCAACAATAGGCTTGGAGGCAGCTGGAGAAGCAGAAGCTATGTGGACATATACACAAGTATCAAGGGATAGGAGCTGAATTTGAACTTATTGCCCATCTCAGAACTCCCTCTTATGTTAAGATTGGTAATAAACTAGGAGTCCTCTGAGGGTCTGGCCTCTGAGTCCGCATGGGGTCTTCCTGGGGAAGCTGAGGCCTTGATGTCAGAGCACAGGGCTGGGGCTTGGGCACCCCAGTCCTGATGTTATCCTGGAACTCACTGAGCAAAGCAACTGTCCTCATCTGTCAAATATGTTCATGCCTCAGTTGAAGGTGTTATATATATAGACGGAATTGTTATACATGAGAATACAGCACAGTGTGGCCTTTCCAGCATGTATCATAAACTAATAAGCATCTTCAGACAGGCCAAAGAATAGACTAGGACTTTTTCAGGAGCCCTGCTATGCTGTTCTGGTAGATCCTTGAGTTCTTGAGACCAGTCTGCTATTCAAAGCACATGAAAATTACTGCTTGTAGGATCTATATTGAGGGAGCATGCCTCATTTACAACACACTTCCCAAACGAGCAAGGAGGCTTCTCAGAATCTGTTCTCTGTGCCTCACACTGTAGCAAGGGATGGTTTGGGAGAGACAGGACCTCTGGGCATTTCCACCTAAGCTGAGCCTGCTTTTCTTTTCCTACAGGTTCTAGAAGGAATGCCTCTATTTGCAGAACTCTCTGGGAACCTGGTGCCTGTCAAGAAAGCAGCCCAGCAGCGGAGCTTCCACTTCCAGTCATTTCGGGAGAACCGCCTGGCCATCCCTGTGAAGGTGCTGGCCTCTGCTGGCCACCCTCTCCTCTGGGTCTAGGAGTTTGGGGGGCAGAAACCCCCAAGCCCACCAGCCTGGAGGTCCTGCTGAAGCTCCCTGTATGTGATTGAATTTAGGTGAGGGACAGCAGTCGTGAACCAGGAGGGTTCTTGTCATTCCTGCGCAAGGCAATGAAGTATGAGGACACACAGCACATCCTCTGCCACTTGACTATCACCATGCCCCCCTGCACCAAGGTGAGCTGCCACCCGCTGAGACCCTCAGAAGTTCCCCAAGCATGACCGAAGGACATGCACATTTCTAAAGGGCTCCTTTCCTGCTCGAACACTGACTGCTCTTGAATCCCAAGGCCCCCCAAGGGCTCTTGCTGTGCTGTAGACATTAGCTTTGTGGCCAGGCTTCCCCCTCCTGCTTGTCCTGGCACGTCTATAAAGCTCTGGTTATGTGATGTAAGGAACGTGTACTGTCAGATGGTCAAAGGCCTGTTTACATGGGGTCAAACATTCTAGACCATGGACAGAGAGTCCTGCCTGTCCTTTTGAGGCTTCTGAGGCTCAGGGCTGGATGTGAAATTGCTGAAGGCCCCCTACTTATGGACAGTTGTGACAACAGCAGTTGTCAAGCCTTTTCTTCATTTATTTGCCTAACTTCCCCAGGGTGCTAGGCCCTCAAACCAGAGAATCCTGATGTCCATACCCACTGCAAATGCCCAGGTTTCTGAACTCAGCCACGGAATCTTCTATTCATTCACTGATACCTGTATAAGTATCACAGTACTACTAGGGACTTCAGAGAAACGACATCTCCAGAATGTGTCTGTGCTTCTGTGGGGCTATTCTGCTGTAATTTGAATCATTAACCTTCTGTGATCCCTAGAAAAGAAACAAGATCACTTTCATATAGTTGGCTCAATTTCTCTTTTTTTTTTTCCTGGAGATGAGAGAACCCATTTGCCTTTCAAAGTGCCTCGAACAAACAGTCCCAGTGTTAAGCTATAGACAGTGTCAGACGTGAGTGATTCAGCAAAGGAGAAACCAGAAAGAAAATCTGAGTTTAAATTCAAAATGTGTCTCCACTGTGTGACTTTGGGCAAGTTACTTAACCTCTCTGTGCCTCAGTTTCCACATCAATGAAATAGAAGTAATAATAGTACCTACCTACCCCATAGGATGTCAGGAGTATTAAATGGAGCCTCACACAATAAAGGCTACCTGGGTCTGCTGTTGTTGATAGTGTTAATAATGTATGCAAGTTTCAGAGACCCCTCTCCACACCTACCTCTTCCCACACTGCTGTTCTTCACATTGAGCCTCCAAAGAAGTACATTGACCCAGGCTCTGAGTCATCATGATGCAGCATGAGGGCTTGCATCATCTTCTTAAGAGTGGGTAGGTCCAAAGCCCACATCACCTTTTCTTCATCTTCTGCAGGGCAGTGGAGTTGAGGGTAAGAGGAGGACCCTGACCCCCCTGGCCCTTCGATACAGCATTCTCAGCGAGTCTTCACTGGGTAAGAGCACCCTTGTGACTCTCCTCAGTGTACTTCTGTAGGAATGTGAGTGTGCTTGTTTTTGCCTGCTGTGGGCAAAGCCTTTGCCCCAGTTCTTTACCTGTTTCTCACGTGCTCTAAAGCCCCGTGTAACCCGAGCATCTTCCTGTCAGGGGACACACACTCAGTCCATCCATGCTTTGACCTGCCCAGGCTGCTAACTACAATTCAATGCACATTCCCAGGTTTTCCTAACGGCACAGACCATGCAGATATGAAGATGGCTGTCATCACAGAGCACCTCGGCCTCAGCTGGGCAGGTGAGTTGGGAAATTTGTAGAGAAAAAGCTCTGCATCTCTCTAACCCCATGACCTTTCCCCTAGTGCACAGTGAACCTCTTTCCATCACCCATTGTGCATCTGGTCTGTGATGACCCACTTTGCAAGCCACACCATGGGGCACCAGTGGAGACCAGTGAGCCGTCTGTTTCTTCTATAAGCATCTTGAAAAACAGTGACTCTCACTCCATTGTAAGAGTTGCTGGAGGCTCAGGGTCGGGGAAGCGGAGCCATTTGTTTTATGATCTTGCAAAGCTGATGTCAGCCTCAAACGGCAAGCTCACTAACTGAGTGCAGAGAACAGTTATAAACTAATATGTTAACCCTTGCCTTCCTTGAGTAATTGGGACGGTGCGGGTCCCCCACACCGTCGGGGTCTCATCTTCCCTCTGCTGCTTACATTTGACTTTTTCTCAACAAAAATGGTGTGTAAGTTCATCTCTACATTCTACATCCTGTTTATTTTAGTTTATCAGGAGCATAGCCTTGCGAGCAAGCTTGGCTGTTACAAATCTTCTACCCTAAACTTCTAGTTTTAAGGGTGGTAGATAGACTAGTGGGCATTAACAGGGTCCATTGTTTTCTGTTCATTTGTAGCTGGGCCTAAGCTGGTTCAAAGTACCTTTGAAAATGAACCATCAGATTTTACTTTTTTTTTTATCTATATGAGTGTATTGCCTGCATGTGTGTAAGTGCACCTGTGTCATGCAGTGCCCACAGAGGTTAGAAGAAGATATCAGATCACCCGAAACTGGAGCTACAGATGGTTGTTAACTACCATGTGGGTGCTAGGAATCAAACCCGGATCCTCTGCAAGAGCAGTCAATGCTCTTAACTGCTGAGCCATCTCTCCAGCCCCAGATTTTATTTCTAATGGCATGAACTCTTGATGTTACAAGTAGCCTTTGGATTTATTAGCTCACCTTGTTTTGATAGAGGGAAGGTGAAGATTCTGCTTGATAAAGCAAGTTGATAGTTAGCTAGTGACAGAAAACAGAAAAACAAACAGAACTAACACAGAGACAAAAAATATATCCTGTGACTGCCTGCCCATTGCCTCCTCAATGCTATGAATGGCAGTTCACAGAGGCAGCTTGCTGTGGGAAATGAGAAGAAACAGCTCTCCAGACACCTCATTTCTCTGGCCTTAGTGGAACCTATAGGACTTTCTGCCTACAGCAGGACAGATATGGTTCTAAGGGAGGTGGGAGACAAAGGGGAAGATACTACACATGTGGTTATGCAGCCCCAGGCTGTAAATTGACCTGTGGGGGCCGTTTTTTGTTGTAATCTTCTATATGGATAGAACTCCTGCATCCACTCACCCTGCACAATGCTTTAGACAAACTCAGACACCAGAGCAGGAAACAGTTGCTGAAAAACTGCATAACAGGAACTCAGGATTCAGGAATTGTTCATTCTTTAGGCTATGTCTAGTCTTGCTTGGTATATGTACATGTGTGTATGTTGGTATGCATATGTGCATTGTGTCAGTACATGTTCATAAATGTGCATGCATGTATGTGTGCTGCACATTTGCACACAAGTGTGTTGTATGTTCTTGTATGTGTGTGTGTGTGTTGTGTGTGTTATATAAGGACGTTCTGACTTGAATTCGCCTTCTTACCAGTCTTCCTTTTACTTGAAGCACTCAGAAATACTCCTTCTAAACATCTAGGAGCAGTCACAATAGAAATTATGCTGGGCATGGTGCACACCTTTAATCCCAGCACGCGGGAGGCAGAGGCAGGCGGATCTCAGTGAGTTCGAGGTCAGGCTGGTCTACATAGTGAGTTCCAGGACAGCTGGGGCTACAGGGAGACGCTGTCTCAAAAAAGACCAAAAAAATTACGGAGGGAGCTACCATAGTAACCACAGAGCTGCCATAGTAACCACAGAGCTACCATAGTAACCACAGAGCTGCCATAGTAACCACAGAGCTGCCTTTCTCTTCTCTACTTCTTGGAGGACAGTCAGCAGTCACCTGTATGGAAAGAGGGTGCTGCAGGGGACCTGAGCCCTGAACTTTGGTTTCTTCCCAGGCTGGGACTAGCTTGTTTGGTATCTTGTGGAGAGCTTATTCTCATCATCTCCTCTGTGAAGCCATGAAAGAAAAGACATCTGTTCATTCACTCAGATCTTCCATGGTGGGAAGGAACCCCAGATTTAATGGGGTGATAAATTCTCCACGTTCATACTTGTACTGGTTCTTTGCCTACAGAACTGGCCCGGGAGCTGCAGTTTAGTGTGGAAGATATCAACAGGATCCGCGTAGAAAACCCCAATTCCTTGTTGGAACAGAGTGCGGCCTTGCTGACTCTCTGGATGGCCCGAGAAGGCGAAAATGCAAAGAGTCAGTACCGCTGAGTCACCAATCTGCTAGATAGACTGCTCCTGGCCAAAGTCCTTTCTCCTTCCGTTCCTGCAGTTGACCCTTGGTCTCTCCCTCTCCCCCTCCCTCCTTCTCTTCCTCCTCTTCTCCCACCTCTCATAGTCTTCAGGTCTCCTAGGCCATCCTACCAGAACACATGACCAGTGACTGTTATCCTCAATCTTTCCCTTTCTTAGAATGATGTAAAAATTGCCCAGGACCTCTGGTCATGTGGGAGGATAGAAGATTCTAGTTTTCCAATAGAATTTCTCAACCAAATATGTGCTGTGGTCTGAAGGCAGAATTAGGTCGGCTGCTGCCCTTACTCGCCCAGGAGCATCTTCCTCAGGCCTGGGGGAAGGCTTGTCTCGCTCTGCCAGGGTGTCCTCAAATCCCTGCCCTCAGCAGCACTGGCAGGAGCTGGATGCTCCGCCTGCTTCTCACATCCACTGATACAGAGCCAGGATTTCAACAGGTCAGAGGCTTCTCATTCTCAACCTTGCTGTCTCGTTACTCTTAGATTTCATACACCTCACACCACATTCGCACACGCACATGCGCACACACACACACACACACACACACACATACACACACGCCTACCTACCTACCTTTGTATGCTTTCAAACTGTCCACTGAAGAACTGGGTTGTGGCTCACTGGCAGAGCAGGTGCACAAAGCCCTGAGTTCTGTTCCCAGCATTGGGAAAACACCCCACAAATGGAAATGACCACTGTCAGTTCTTGGAAAAGACCTGCTGTATAAAAAGATAAAATCTCCCAAGAGGAAAACTGATTATATCCCTTCCCCAGACTTCCTCCTGGCCCCCTGTTCAGGCCTGTACAGCAATTCCCAGTCACTCTAGACTCATTTGAATTTGCTCCTCAAATGACTCCTCCCTTCTCTCCTGACAGTGGAGAATTTGTATGCCGCCCTGCGGAACATTGACCGAAGTGAGATTATAAACATGTTGGAAGGCTCTGGCAGGCAGAGCCGCAACCTGAAGCCAGATCGGCGGCATGGGGACCAGGACTATATGCTGTCACCCTCCCAGATGAATGGTGAGTGTCCTGTGGGACCAGGGCAAGGCTGAGCTGGACCGTGCCTTTGAGGTACCAGCAGTAATGATCTCTTCACACAACACTTCATTCCCCCAAACCATCTCTTCCTACCATAGATGGAGGGATTGTTTTGTCAGTAGTAAACTCTTCCCACCAGGGAGAGCAGAGGCAAGTGAGAGAGACAGGTAGCACACACCTGTGCAGGTAAGCGTCCCCCCACGCTGCCTGCCATTGTATCCACAAGTGGAGTATCTCCCAGGCCCTCACAACCAGCCGTTGGTACCAGGGTCCCAGCCGGGGCCTGGTGTGGGTTTGAGTCTGGGAAACAGCTATTCGGGCCCTCACCTCTATGTTCTCCAAACTTTCTGTGTCACTCTTCATAAGGTATGGACCCTCTCTGAGGCATCAGTGTCCCTGTCTGTAGACTATTCAGTGATCAGGAAACAAGGGACATGGTGATTCTGGGCCACGTCTAATGGAGACCAGCTGATGGTGTTTAAAAACCCCACTGTGAACCCTCGGGGCTAAGGGCGTGCTTTCCGTGAGCCTGGTCTCTCTTCCTTGTCTCGCTCTCCCCTTCTCTCATCTCATGTTTCCTCACACTGCTTGGTGTGGTTCAGAATGGCAGGGAGCCCCAGTGTGACCCAGCCCCAGGAGACAAAACCCAGGGGGCCCTGACCTTTGTCTCACCCCCGGACTGTCTTAAGGCCTGCACTCTGCACAGAGCAGCTGTGGAAGCTGCCACTGGTGTGAGCAGAGCCTGGACTCCACCCTCTTTCTCCCAGTGGGCACAGAGCAGGGCCTCACATCTACCTCAGTCCAGTGTGAAAGGCCCAGGAGCCTGGACACGAGGCCCTCCCTACCTGCTGGCCCCCACATGGTCAAGACAGCTCATCTTTAGAAATAGCCAGTTGGGTCAGATTTCTGAAGTGGCTTACAGACTTTGAAAATCTCATCAACTGTGGGAAATGCCTTTTTCCAGTTCCCCATACCTTACATGGTGATATTGGTGCCCACTAAACTGGTAGTTTTAAGGGCCATCCCTGGCCATGTACGTGTCAGATGTGTAGGCACCCGAGTCCCAGCTTGTGGTGCCATCGGGGGAACAGCAGGGCAGCCGACCTCTGGGCTAGGCTGGACACAGGGCCTCCTGCCAGGTGGGGCCTATGCACGTCCAACCTCACCCATTCCCTCTCCCACATCCCGTGTCTCCTATGCCATCTCGCGCCATCAGGTGTGGGATTCATCTACTGATCACGTCCTGTCACCTTTCTTCTCTGCCTCCGACCTCATCCTGACCTCTGGTTCGTTCATTCTCTTGCACTTCCTGTTCTCCACTGTCTCCACCTGGCCAAGTGTATAAGAACTGTCAGATTCCACAGATGCATGTCACAGAGGACGCCTAGCCCGACCCCGTGTGTCTCATGGCTGTCCCCACGGGCATTTGTTGTGTATGCACAGCGTGTTGTCTGTATCGCCTTTTAGTAGCTGCTGATGTGTGTGCTCCGCTCCTTCTTCAGGTCCAGAGGGTTCCAGGACAGTGATTGACACTGCGGGGTTGTAGCTGCCCTCTGGGCACCTGGTTGACATCCTGCAGGGGCTCCCAAGTAGGCCAGCTCTGCTTCACAGAGAGGAGAGAGGACAGCTGAGAAAATCTGCAAGCTTTGGGGATACAGATGACAAAGTGCTGGGTCCTTGGTGTGCGACACGACTTTCTTAATATTGCCTGTGCTACATCAATCCAAACTCACAGGGTTTTTTTGTGCCGTGTTAGATTACCTTTCACAACTAGCAGGGTCTGAATAAGGACTACTGGCTCCAGTCAGACCAAGAGTCCTAAGTCCATGAGTGGGTCTCCATGTGTTCTGTATGTGGTAACAGAGCTCTGTTGCAGTGGGATAGACCATTGGCAAATGCTTTTCAAGCCTCAGCTACGTTCTAAGCTGGGGAGTTAAGTCAGTTCTCAGACAAGAAAACAAAATAAAGCGCTGCTTTCATGGAACTCTCCTCTGTCAGGCAAGTGTCTATATTAAATATTATCCTTATACAGTTTTACTCAAGCACATAGACCTTGAGAAGTCTTGTAATTTAGAATTTCAGTGGTTTTCAGGCTGTTGCAGCCTGTGAGGAAACATTAATGTTAGCAGGTCACAGCGACATGCAGAAACAGACGAAAGTAAGAGGACTGAGGGGTTAAGAAGCTTTTGAACAAAGATACAAAGGAGATGAGGGAACGAACCATGTGTGAACAATAGGGAAATAACATCCCGGCGGGCTGGCATCTGTAGATTCACAGAACAGTGAGGAGCCAGAAGGACTGGAGCAGTGGAGGTAGGAGAGGAAGGCACAGAGGCCTAAGGGGGAAGGGGAAGCAGGAGCCTGGCCCTAAAGACTGTCAGTTTGGGTAGGGTTGAGTTTGAGCAAAAGAATGGCATCATCTGATTAATCCTTCAAAGGATTCCTTTTCCTGTTGTGTTGCGTTTAGATGCTTCTGTACTTCCGGCTTCTCTGTGCAGGTGCATGGAGCCTTCTGTACCCATCACCCCTGATCTGATGAGCCCAAGCTCCAAGCACTTTAGGCACTGCCCTGAATGGGAGCAAACACCATCAACTAGTCCTTCTGCCTCTCTAGGGACCAGAACTGGCTTTTGCATGCTTGTCACACCCTATCCCTGTCCCAGGAAGACTGTCCACATCTGCTGTCCTTCTTGTCTGAAAAGAATGGATATGAGAGATCAAAAACTGCAGAGAGGGAAGGCAGCTGCCTCCTCCACCATCTCTGTCTGTGCTTTGATAAGGCCTCATGGCACGTCTCCTAGTGCCAACACAGACCTACGCGCTGAAGTTGCCACCACCACCTCAGCTCCTGAGTACCTTCTTCATTCCTTTGCTTGTGTGGGCCTCTTTCTGAAGTCACAGAGACTAAGGGCAGAGCCTGCAGAGAAGCAGGTAGGCTGTGGAAAGCAGAGGCTTCCCTGCCAGGAGTCTTCTCCTATCAAAACTCTTTCTGTCCTATACGCCTGCACTGATGGGGGAAAGCACGGTGCTCACCCAGACCAATGGGATAGGCATAGAGGGAAAAATGCCTATAAAGCAAAAAAAGATGTTTCTTTTAAAAAGGAAGCATGTCTTATATGGGGAAAAAAGTGGCCACTTCATACCCATCAGCTCTATCTGGCTTGATAAACTGGACACATACTATGTCTGCTTGAAAATAAAATGTGCTTTATTTATATCAACTTTTGGGAGGGGGTCTTTTTGACACAGGGTCTCCCTATAGTGCCAGCTGTCCTGGAACTCACCATGTAGACCAGGCTGGCTTTGAACTCACAGAGATCTGCCTGCCTCTGCTTCCCTAGTGCTGGGATTAAGGGCATGTGCCTCCACACCCGGCTATTTGTATCAACTTTTAATGATGCAAATAATAAGTATGATTCCTGTCTGAGGCCAGGTCACCTGTCCACACCTTTTGTTGGCTAATGACATTGAACTAATAAGATAATTATTACATCTTGGTTAGTATATACCCAGGGCAAGGATGTGAAGAAGGATCACCTTACTTACTCTGCTTCAAGCCTTTTGTATGTGGCTGCTTATCTGATTGCCCTCAAATCAAACTCCAAATGACAGGCCTCTAGACTGGGAGATGGGTTGCTGATTCAGAGACAGGCATTCTGAAACTCAGGTAGGGACTGCAGGGTCTGTTCTACTTCTGACCTGGTGAGACCTTCCTCATGACAATGCATAGGCCATAGTGACCGCTCTACCAGCCCAAAAGTGATGCCGACCTGGATCACATCTGTAGCTGCTGAAAGCATCAGAGCTAAGTCTGAGTGGGTGAGTGGGGTCCTCTGGAGTAGGAGCAGCCTGGAGGAAGTCACCTGGGTGGTGATGAGCAGAGGTGATGCATAGGCTTTCTCCATCCATACCGCATTCGGGTGAAATTCCACTCAAGTGAACACCATGGAAGTTTTAAGGTGGGAGAGTTGCAGAGGCTTGCTGGTGCCTCCAATGTTTTAGGGAACAGCAGACATCTAACCTCAAGTCTTGCTGAAATTCTCAGGGGTGGCAGAATGACCATCTGGCCATGTCTGAGGATCTGTTGATGATGCAAACCACTTTTGGACAAGTAATGGGGAGCAACCAAAAACGAGAGCATCTGTGAGACATTTTGTAAGACACTGGGCTTCAGGAAGCAAGGGTCAGTGGTTTACAAGGCGGGGAACGCAAATGAGACCAGTCATTTGATGCCTGGATTCAGTCTTGATAGCACTTCTATGGCAACCCAGGCGGCCTCCCTGGAATAAGGAGAAGTTGGTGGAGTCAAGGAAACTAAAGCGGCTGTACTTCCCAGGAGAGAGGGACAGAAAAGAGACAGCTGATGGGATAAGACGTCCAGACCCTTTGGAGGGTCGCCTGCAAGTTTCAGCTGAGCATTCCCAGCTATTCCCAGTGACCAGCCTGGTCATTCAGATGTTGGTTATGCATGAAAAAAGAGACATGTTTTAGAGAGTAGAAATAACTAACGCTAGTTTGAGCAGTGTGTAAGACCTACCTGCGAAATCGTGAAGGCAAAATGCAATGGGATCAGATTGCTTCCACACAAATCACATAACAAAACAGACCCCAAGAATGTATGTGGAACTACAAAAATAATTAGCACTCCAAAATGGAAAATTAAAAATGTCTGGTTAACATTAGCCCAGTTAACCAGAAGAAAGAAAGCACCTCCAAATCAACAAAATCAGAGATGAAAGGGGAAAGACCACAACAGACATGAAAAAGATCCAGAACATTATAAGGGAATACTTTAACAACCTATATGCTACTAAATTTGAAAACCTAACAGAAATGGATGAGTATCTAAAAGCATGGGAACCACCAAAACTAAACCAAGAACAGTTTAAACAGACCCATAAGACATAAGGAAATTAAACAGCAATACAAAACCTCCAGACTAAAAAAAGCCCAGGACCAGATGGATTTACAGCAGAATTCTA